ACCTGACTCAGAATTCCACATACATAGAAATTTACAATACAGAAGAAAGCTATTTGATCCATCCGTGTACCACGCATATTACCTACACATATTTCTCTGTGTCTGGAATGAAATGTGCTCTCTCTTCCTGGAGGGAAGCACCCTGCTTACCTAATTCTGGAGAGTATTAGGGGCAGGCGAGAGCAAAGGTTTGGGCACTAAGTAGGGTACATACTGCTGGAATTATTTTTATCTGAGGGATAAAAACATATCTTACAACTAAGAGCATGTTTTCCACTGCTTGTTCAGGTAGGACCCTAGACAACAGGGCTTTGGCTCGGAGGATTAACAGGACCCAAATAGGAAGATCCCCTGCTCTCTCATTGACCGGTCTGTCCCACCGAAACCTAATGATAAGCCATGCTGGTTGGTCCATTATCAGCAGTGCTCTGGAGCACTTTGGACCTGCTTGGCTCACAAATTGGACTCCCAAGATCACCTCAGAGGGCTGATTTGACTGCGACATGTTAGCAGAAGACTCTGCTAACCACCCCCCCACCCCCACCACCCGCCACCGGAGGATACTTGATCATTTGGCATCCGACAAATGCAGGTAAGAGCCCTTTCTGGGTGCATAGCAGGTACCAGAAATTCCCTTTGAGCTTCCTGGTGAGCAGCAGAAATGAAATGAATGAGAACACTGCCACCATCCTCCTGTTCACGATGTGGATACACATCACTCCCATTGTGTGCTGGTTCCACCAGTTGGAGGTGTAGAGCGTGAGCAACAACAACATGCATTTATATAGCACCCTTCAGGGTTAGCATCTCGGAGCAGCACATGCTTATCTCTTTGCACACCAATCAAAGTGGATACCAAATTCTGGATATTTGAGCAAATGTTCACAAATTTGGACTCCAGGTAATACCTTCCAGGACCTGTCGCCCCGCGCCTCAGAGGTTCATCATCAGCTATTCAATGGACATCAGCCTGCAAAGACATTTACGTGGTAGTATGTGACATGCCAAATTCATGTTCTAGAGGTCCAAGCCAGGTTTACTCAACATCAGCTGCTTAATTCAGGTCCTCATGTGATGAGCTTTGACAAATAGATATACCCCGTAAAGCTGACTCTGCCTTCAGGGCTCTCAGCAACAACAAAATTACATTTGTATAGCACCTTTCATGTTGAGAGGACGTCCCAAGGCGCTGGACCATCAGTGTTTCGGACCCGAGCTGGGGATCGGGATCGGGGAGGGTGGACAAGAGCGAAGGAAGTAGGGTGCCCGAAAGCAAAGGTAAAGGGGAGCAAGGCCATGGAGGGCTTTGAAGGTGAGGACCAGGATCTTGAACTGTATCTTTTGTGTGGTGGGAAGCCAGAGGAGTTGGGCGAGGATGGGCATGATAGGAACCTGGTACGGGAGAGGACATGGGCTGTAGCGTTCTGGATGATCTGTAGCCTATGGAGGGAGGGGTTGGGGAGGCCGACAAGCAGAGAGTTTGCATAGGATCCCTAGGGAAGCAGGAAGTGTTGTTTGTTTCAAGAACAAATTAGAGAGATTTCTACTGGAAAATAATATCTTGAGATACAATATATAGTTTGGGACATGACATATCAAGCGACTGATGGGATGTTGGAAGGCGAACTAGATGGACCTCAATCTTCTTTCGCCTAGCAACTGCTTATGTTCTAGGATTTTTGAAAAATATTTTCTTTTACACCTTCACCCAGAATGCCAGCATTTTCCATCATCACCTGATTCTCTGCTGGTTTCATCTTATTTTCATCTGCCAAAATTTCTCTCTCTCTCCTATGACGTTGTTTAAATAAATGATTTTAGATTTAGCACATTTTAGATTTTGTTTGATGCTGAATAGCTCCAGAATCAAAAATAATTAGTCTCCATGATTAGCGTATAATTACTATCCTTCACTGTCAAACATCCCATGAAGCTCTTTGGGATGTTTTATAAGACACAATAAACAGTATATCAAATCCCAGGTGAATATTATTATAATGCATGAGCAACAACAACAACAACATTACATTTGTACAGCATTTCACATTGGGAGGACGTCCCAAGGCACTGGACAGTGTACAGCATTTCAGACCTGAGCTGGGTGGGAGAGGGGAAGGGAAGGGGGGTGACCAATGGCATGGTCGAACAGGAGGGTCTTGCGTCGGGACTTGAAGGAGGCTAAGGAGGGGGCGAGGCAGAGTGATTGGGGGATGGAATTCCAGAGGTTGGGGGCAGAGTGGCTGAAGGCTCTCCCGCCAATGGTGGGGCGGGTGGGTCGGGGGACATGGAGCAGGCCGGAGCCGGCTGAGTGAGGGAGCCGGCGAGTTGATAGGGGGTTAGGAGGTCGCAAAGGTGAAGTGGGGCAAGGACATGGAAGACTTTGTAGATGAGGACCAGGATTTTGAACTGGATCCTCTGAAGTATAGGGAGCCAATGAAGTTGGGCGAGAATGGGGGAGATGGGGTCACGGAGTTTGGTGCGGGAGAGGACACGGGCTGCAGAGTTCTGGATTATCAGCAGCCTGTGGAGGGAGGAGTTGGGAAGGCCGACAAGCAGGGCGTTTGCATAGTTGAGCCTGGAGATGATGAAGGCATGAATAAGAGTTTCAGCGGCCTGAGGGGTGAGGTAGTGGCGGAGTTGGGCGGTGAGGGAAGGCAGAGCGTGTCATGGCTTGGATGCGAGGAAGAAAAGACAGTTGAGGGTCGAACAAGACACCTAGGTTCCTGACTGGCGGTGAGTTGAAATGTGCAACCATGGAGGTTGATGTTGCCAGAGCCTGAGGTCCAGAGGCGCTGTCGTGAGCCAATCAGGAGGGCCTCAGTCTTGTTCACATTCAACTGTAGAAAATTTGCCCTCATCCAGGACTTGATGTCCGACAGGCAATCTGTCAGGACAGCAGTGGTTTTGGAGTTGAGGGTGGAGGCAGAAAGATAAAGTTGGGTGTCATCCGCATACATGTGGAAGTTGACCCCATGTCTGCGGATGATGTCACCAAGGGGGACCATGTAGATATTAAAGAGGAGAAGGCCAACGACAGAGCCCTGGGGGACACCAGACATGACAGTGTGGGGGCTGGAGGAGAAACCGTTAGAGGCAACAAAGTGGAGACGGTGAGAGAGATAGGATTCGATCCAGGCAAGGGCAGGTCTGTGAAAGTTAAGTAAAGAAGAGGCGGTGTATGAGGATGGAATGGTCAACAGTGTCGAAGGCGGCAGAGACAACAACTTGCATTCACACATCTATATATATTTCTTTTGTGAGTGCCTTTCATGTAAAATAATGTCTCGGAGGAACTCTAGAGCCTCGTTGATAGGTGAAATTGAAGTGCTTTAATGGTGGTGCATTCCAGTAGGATCCCAACAACATTTGTTGCATTAAATAGGGCATTATGGCAGGATATACCTTTAGGTACAAATACATAATATGTATTATAATGCAGAAGAATTGCAACCATCCACATCAAGGGGTGACATTCTGAATTCAGCCAGAGACTTCAGGAATCATATGAACTGAGAATCACTTAGTATCAGGAACGACAGATATGTATCCATATTGAATTACTTTTTTAAATACATAATTGAAAAGACTCGTTTCTGACTGGGTAGAGAATTGTGATTCTGATAAAGTACCTTTCAGTCTGGCTAAGAAGAAACTCTTCTGCTAACAGCACCTGCTCATTGAATTTAAATTTTGAACTTTTAACTGAGATTAAAATAAAGGTTGATGATGTCCGTGAATAGTGGAGCGAGGAGGTGGAGCTGGAGGTCAGCAGAGGGGTAAGGATGGGGTTGAGGGAGCAGGTGGTGGGCTTCAGAGATATTACACTGAGATTTGTAGGTGGAAATCACTGCATGTGTTTTCATGCTATCAGGAATGTCACTTCCACTTGTTGGGGATGGTTAACAGTGATTAGTTATTTTAAGAAATGATTGTCTGCCTTAGTTTGTACTGGAGCATTTTGCATCTCTAATATAAATAATAATAATGCATGAAGCATTAGGTAACACAACATAAATGGACTGAACCAAAGATCACACTGCTTTAGTTTGTACTGGAACATTTTGCATATCTAATATAAATAATAATAATGCATAAAGCACTAGGTAACACAACATAAATGGACTGAACGAACTGAAGATCACTCTGCTTGTTAAATCGATAAAAAGAAAACATTCCTGCTACTCTGCAAGTTGTGGCATCCCTGACTGATTACATTAGATAATCCAGACAAGTATTTACAGTAGATAATTTTAAGTACAAATACTGTTTAGTGGTAAGAGCAAACAAGAATATTATTTTTAAAAAAAGTTTGAACATGGTTCCTACTTAGTGCTAGGTAAACAGAGGCATGTGGAGTAAGGAAACTTGCCCAATGTTTTGCACATCCACGAGTATTGTTCTGGTTGTACTTTTATAAGGTTACTTCTAAAATGTATTTATTGAGAATGCAAAGCCCTAGTTCATCTCTCTAAAAACTGGGAAATCCTTTCAATCCCATTTACCTCCCCTTTCCCTATAACTATGTTGTATAAACCGTTTTAAATATTAGCCCAGTTTATGCCGCCTATCATTTTTAAGGTTGATTAGATTGTGACAGCTAAAATAATTACACTTTTACATACCGTAGCAATCGCTGATTATTTTTCACAATGAATGAGCGATTACTGTACTGTATAAAGTGCACATGACAGGCATCATAAGTTTATTTTTTTAAGGAAGACCATTAAGCAGGTTTCAATCAGGTGATTGTCCCCGAGACTGTATCACTTGGTGGACAATTTAGAGAGGGGAATTTAGAGATGTGGGATTCCACTTTACATACAAAGAGAATAGTATGTAAAGCCATACCGGAGGATTATTTTAAAAAGCACAATGTTCAAGCTGCTTATGAAGATCTCACCAGAACACATAAGCAAATAAAATGGCATCAGGTGTGCCAGACCGAGGGCAGTAGTGTGTTTCCAAGTGTTGGATGCGCACTGATGCTCAGACACTCTTACCCTTCAGCCTTCAGTGGGCGGCATTGTGGGCCCCAGTGCAGCGGTGTATTGTGTGATGTCCTGTGAAGTCGTTGTGACGGTTGGTTGATGCCAAGTGGTGTGCGGTTTCACACGGTGAGCAGGTACGTTGCACTTGTTTTGCTCGATATTTACATTATTTCTACTTAACCCCCCGCACACCTCTCCTCCGCCCCTCCCCCGCACCCCCCCGCCCCTCCCTCCCCGCACCCCCCCTCCGCCCCTCCCCCGCACCCCCCCCTCCGTCCCTCCCTCCCCGCACCCCCCCCTCCGTCCCTCCCTCCCCGCACCCCCCCCCTCCGCCCCTCCCTCCCCGCACCCCCCCCTCCGCCCCTCCCTCCCCCCCCCCCAACCCCGTCCTGCTTTGCACTCGATGTAACTCACTCGCGGTCTGCGCATGCTCCGCGCGGTGGTCCAGTACGCGTGCGCCGGAACGGCGTTCCCGTGGCGGCGAATGCTCGCTGCGCCTGCGCATTAGGGGCGGCAGTCGGTCCGTCGACCGCCGACTGGCGGGACGCATGCGCGGTAAGGTGGCGGGGCTGGGCGCGCCTGCGCTGTGTGTGTCTCTGTGTGTGTGTCCGTCCGAGCGGCTGTCGGGCGAATGGAGGCAACGGACGTGTCGGACTGTGAGAGCGACGAGAGCGTCGTGGCGGCCTCGGTCCAGGAGAGCGACGGCGAGAGCACACCTGACCTGAACAGGTACAGCAGCCATGTTACCCCTCAGTAACCAGGGGGAGCACTGGCCTCCCACCCCCTCCCCTCCCCTCCCCCACCGTCTCCCCCTCAGACACAAGGAGTGACAGTCTCCCCCACCCCAGACATGGCGTGTCTCTGTCTCCCCCCCCTCCCCCCCCCAGAGTCTCTCCAGCTGCAGACCCATTCTTTCCCCCCCCACGAGGAAATGACCGATAAGGACTGAAGAGTTTCTTGTGGACGAACGCTCGTGTTTCTTCCCGAGAACCGCCATCACACGAGGTTGACCGCATCGCCTCAAAACACGTAAACGCCGCGAGTGATAACTTTTGAGGTATTATTCAACACCTCAGTTGCAGAATCTCACGAAACAGGAGCTTTGGCTGCATTTAAATGCAGAACTGCACACGTTCAGGAGGAATCCCAGGAAATGACATTCCCAGGAAAGGTGGAACGCACGAGGGCCATCAGGGAGTTGGCAGGGAATCAGGCATTGCTGGTTTAACTGCTGCCACGTCTACGCCATTGCTTCCAAAGAGCTCCTTACAAAAAGTGAACTGGCTTCTTCCTTCAGGTGTTGACTGGCCTGCTGTGGAATTATTTTTGCTGACCCTGAAAGACCCGGTTAATCTGGGCAGACGTGTGCTTTTACTTGTTCGGCTTGTAGCTCAGTGGTTAGAGCACTCGCTTTGCAAGCGAGAGTCCTGAGTTCAGTTCCAGGCAGGTCAGGGCGAAACCTTGGGCAAGTTTGCTTACTCCACACAGAGCCTAATAATAATCCCTCCAAAACCAAAAACAATAATAAATTGGTCATTTTCAATCTACATCTGTTTGTGGGACATTGCTGTGCGCAATTGGCTGCCGCGTTCGCCCACAAATATACAGTCAATTCACTTTGCAGTGTGTTCTGTGAAGTGCTTTGGGAGGTCCTCCTGACATGAAAAGCGCTATATCAAATGCAAGGATTATTATTATTATTATTTGTTGTAATGCCCAAACCCACGCCCGACAGGTATTACAGTAATAAAGCTACCCAATCATTAACTCCTATTTTTAAAAAAAACACACACATATCTGCTAAAAAAAATGCAAAAAACAAATGGGGTCAAAATTGCGGTACTGTTAATATTAGCAGCCAAGAGCAGTTCAGAGTTCATCAAGAGTTATGCTGTGCAGAATACCCTGCTGGTTGAACTTCATGGACGAAGCGCAGACGAAGTTATGCATGTCAGAACCAATCAGTATATGAGCTCAAGGAGCCTACTAAGCATATAATTTAACCACTCAACTATCTCTTGAGAGTGTCTGTCATTTCTGACTTTGAAAAAAACAGCTCTCTTGTTGTCTTGGAGTGTCTTAATGATGTCTGGGCATGTGCAGTTAACGGGTTGCTTTATCCCATTATACATTACTTCAACGTAACACATCATACAGTGTGCTAAGCATCACAACATTCTGTTGCTTACGAAGAACATCCTAACTCCCATGTCAGCAAGATCAATCCAGAATTTATTTATGGTCAGCTGGGTGTCCAATGTATACAGATTCCTATTACCATGCTTAAGTATCCAAACGAAACAGAATTCCATGCATGCCATCTACACATGGAAATTTCCACGTGTGGCATGGAATGCGCATTCTCTCCCTGGAGGGATGTATCCTGCTTACCGAATTCTGGGATGCATTAGGCACAGGCTGATGAGAACCAAGGTTTTAAGACCCCAGAATGTGTGTGGGGTTTCCTGCTGGAGTTTAATCAGCTAAAATGGCAAGCTAACCCATTGCTTGCCATTGAAAGAACTGTCTGGCAAACTTTCCTCTCGCTTGTCCAGCTAGGACTAACCCACTGTTAAGGTGAAATACAAAGAGGAGTCTTCACTTCGTGTCTGCAACCTTAACCTTTAGAAAAGCATAGAATCTCAAATTCAAATTCAATTACACATCAAAAGCTTTTCTGACAGTGTTGCCCTCCCACCCCCGATGTCACCTTTCTAATCTCTGAAGGCCATTTCTTATCTCACCATGGACATTGTACTGATTGGACATATTAGTACAACTTGCACTTTTTTCCAGGAAACTGCTGAATCTCTCAGTATAAAATGTTTTATTTACGTTTCTGTGGAGTTTGGGGAAGTAGTGTACACAGTGTGAAGGTCACTATCCAGTAGTTTTTGTAGAATTATTCCTGACATATATTTACATGATTATTAAATAGTTGAGCTTCTTAAGACACCACTTATTGGTTCTTTCCAATTGGCTCATACTTTGCAGTTACTTGTAATAGTGGCGAAACAAGCTGAGCATGCATGTGAAATACTAACTGCAGTCAGTAGATGGTGCTGATTGTTCTATCATAAGGAAACCACAAATATTTTACCGTATGTTGTTGAATTGTGGCAGAAATCTGTATCTTAGTATTTATTATTATCAACTGGTATCACTACCAGTTATTTGTACAGAATAATGTTACCCAATGAGAATAATGATGCCAAAGTGAAGAGATAAATGTTAAATCTGTTTGCTGAAAAGATGGAAAAAAGACAATTTATATAGCACTTTTCACATCAGGAGGATGTCTCAAAGCACTTTGTAGAACAAATTGGGAATCCAAGCTTGGGGCGAGGAGAACTGGGGAAGTGAGGAAAAAGGGGGCCAAAATGAATCTCCATTCACACTGCCTGGAAACAGAATGAAAATGATTTTGATTCTTCATTTGCTTCCTCTGAACAACTAGGATCACAAAGATACAGTATTGTAATGGTGCTCCATAGAAAGTGAAAATCCGCAAGTTAGAATGAAGAATTTTGAACCAATCTGATTCTGAATTAACCATAGCAAAGACACAAGAACATCCCTTGCATGCCATTAAGGTTGAGAAGGCAGTTAAATAGGCTAGGCAACTGGCACATAAAACACATGTCAGGACATGAACAACAATTATTTTCAACAACAATTATTTTCCAATGTGGGGAGACAGTATCTGACCAGTATCTCTCCAAAGCAATACGGCTGAAGTTGGGAATTCAGTGGAATTGAATCTGAATTTACAATCTTCAGTGCACTTTAGCATCCTCTTTTATGTTTAGATATTTTTATTTTATTTTATGGTGTATTTTAGTGATAACCGAAGCATAATGTTTTGGGAGATTTAATTGAAAAAGAATGCTAATATTGGAGACTTCACTTTTAATTTTAAAAAACTCATGAGTAGTAGGATTCCTTTATTTTTCCCCAATTGCTTGATCTCCCCAGACAAACATGTACTATGATCCTGAGGATCAAGAATGGGGTTGAACACAGTGGACTGCAGAATCAGTCTTTTGCTCACTATATCGGGTAGCTTATTACCAAATTAGACGTTTTTAAGATTGCTGTTGCAAATAAATGCTTCTTCCTATATTTTCTGCAGGATGCTGTTCTTTCATAAAAATGCTATTCAGCTCTATCATACAATGAGCGATTTTACATCAGGGTCAGATGAACCAATTGGAGGTAATGCTTTTCTGTTGCTCTTTTATTTATCAGAAAAGTGCATATTACATTCATCTTTTCTCATTCAATCTTTTCTTTTGTTCATTATTTTTGTTACACCGCCCAAAGTTCTGGTTCTTCTGGCCAAGAGAACCAGCATAACCAGTGTTGCTCAACGCTAGGAGTTGCACAAGAGTACTCTCGTGTGACAGATCTTTCTGATTATGGGGAAGTGCCTGTCCTCGAATTGTGGTAGGAATCCTAGATTTTGCTTTGGTCAGCTAGATGTCTGACACATGTGGAAAAGCTTTGCCGTGCTTAAGAGCATTCTGACAAAACTAAAAGTTCCACAAATTCATGCCAGAATCCCAGCTGTGAGGCTGGACCTATAGTTCCATAGTGCATGAGAACTCTATTGTGTTTTGGCAACACAACTTTCTCTGTTGATGTTTCAAGATACAATATTAGGGTTATCATAATGGATTATGAAATCTTTACATAGATTGTACATCATAGAGACAGACCATTTGATCCAACCAGTCCGTGCTGGTGTTTATAATCCACATGAGTCTTCAACTCTCATACTCTCTATTCACTTATTCATCATGTGAAAATCTAGCTTCCTAGTGGGTATTCTGGAAGTCACTATATGTTACAGAGGTTTCTTTGAAGAACTTTGAGATGTTTTGATACACGAAAGCACTAAAGCAAAATGAAAGGATTAGCTTCCTACATTATATACAAGAAGCATTGCTGATGTCACTTCCTGCATTTCACGAACAAAATGCTATGATTGAGGACTGGTTGATGAATTCATATCTAGAGGGTTGAAGGCACTGATAAAAACAAACTAGATGCTTTTAGATTTACTAAATAATCTTTCTTTTAAACTTTTAGGAATTTATTCACCTGTGATACAGATGATTCCCAAATCTACATATTTTCGATTAAATGATGAAAATCATCAGCAGCAGCAAGTGAATAGCCAGGTATGAAATGTGTGATATCAAAATTGGAAACTAGCAGGAAAAGTTGCAATAAATAACAATAATGCAAAAATCCTTGCATTTAGGAAATTGTATTTTCATGCAAAATATCTAGTTGGTTTTATTTTGTATCCCCCTTCCTCTATATTGGGAAGCTCATTGCTGTTTGCCTCTGTGGTGAGCCTATTTTTCCATGGCTATCGCCAGTGACGCTGACTGTGTGACAGGCTGTTCATTTCTGCAAGTTGGGACAGATCCTCTTCCATCAATATGGAGCTATGATTGAGTACTGGTGAAACAGTGGACAATACACAGTGTTGCATTTAGGACTGGTCACAACTGCGAAAACTCACAAATGAAAACAGGCAAGCTTTAGTGATGCTAAAATTAGTATTGAAACTTGGTGTTACAACCTGTTATAAATACTGAATTTTTATATTGGATTTTAAACAGGCATACATTTAAAGTATGTAATAATTCAATGTGTTCACAGTAATCAAAACTTTTTTTAAAAAAATCAAGGTTGAAACTGAACAGCAGATTCAGATGTGAGAACCCCTCTTGCTTGCCAACACTTGTCTGTAGCCACTATTTAACAAAGCATTTTCTTCTCACAATTTAACAGATGCATGACACAATGATGCGAGTCAGGTTTAAATATATTGCACTTGCACATAATAAACCTGATGGAACAGTAATTCTGGTTCTTCGCCATTCCCAAACTACTGTCCTTGCACCTGTTCAGCTGCTTTCTACATGGGATGGGTATTCTGAAAGAATGAAGTCAAATGGGTCAAAGGGCCTTCTTCATCCAAACCCCTCTTGCAAAATAAGTACATATAATAAGACTTTTTGCAACCTTCACAAAAAAATTGGTCAATACATTAGTCCATAAAACATGGAAGAAATACACATAACAATGCACTATCTGGTCCTAATTTTATCAGCACGCAGCAAAGCGAGGTAATGCAAATCAAATACGAAAAAATACTGTATACTCAGTAATACTTTGCTACCAGCAGGAAATTTACCTGCTGCAGAGTTAAGCATCATGGAAGACACAGCGTTCGATTTCCTCCCATTGTCAGACCAGCTGCTTATGTTTTTCAAAATTGCACCTGTAATGGAGTCCTTGTAATGGGATCTTCCATGAGAGACGGCATGAAATAAGTAAATGCCAAGATGAATAGAATATGCTTGGCTTCCCATTTCCCATTACCTCAGTGATTGGAAGACCATTGTGTAAGCTGTAATTCTTAGCTCTGCATTCATGTGTTCTCCTCATGGCTCAGTGCGTAAATGCATAGCCTGGCATGATCCTGATCCACATCTACACAGGATGGACTAAGGTTCAATCTCTCATTTGGAATTAATTTCACATGGAGCACCAATGGTCTCAGCACTCCTGGGCTATGGAAGTAAAAATATCAACCAGGGTTTCCAATCCTGCTTATTACACTGTTTGGTTATTTTCTTTTGGAAGTGTAGTGCATGAATGGTAGGTGAAGATAGGTTTTGATTTAGTTACAAGATGGTAATATCCACTGGTGGGATATTTTACATTGATTGTTACAAATAGTATGTTTTGCACTCCATTTTTATAACATTTTATATAACAAAAAAAGTTTGTTTTGTATTCTATTACAAATACAATTATAAATACAATTTGTAATAAATAATAGAATACAAAGTTTAAAACTAGTTAGATATCAGTTGAAAATGTCTTGTCCCAGTATCACTAATATTTTTGGGTACGAAAGACTAATGTACAATTCTCTCTGTAGGCTTATAATGGAATAGCACAATTCGACCAATCTCAGTCATTATTAAGGTAGGGTCATATAATATTACATTATGTTCAATTTATTAATTTTATCAATGATTGTACATTATTTTGTTGAGTTTGAACCACAGGCTTTTCAAACGTAACAATGTTGTCAGCTGAATCACTAATTTCCTAAATCAACATACTGTATATTTTTAAAATAAATTAATTGAGGTATAGTATGTTTCATACTTTGCCACAGCTGACATCGTCAGTGTCAGTGGATTGAGAGAACCAAGAAACTGCAGAGTAGGACAATATGGAAGCACAATTATTCATGGAGGAAGACATAATCTATCTCCAGGTAAAGATGGAATTTAGAATAAGATGAGCAGATTCCAAGAATGCAATGTATTTTGATAAAATAGATGATTGTCTGGATTTGTCTGCTCTATAGCACTTACCTAATCACCCTGACTCTTACTTTATCTCAAACCTCATCTATAATTGACTAAGGCTAATTATATTCGGTACCATGTAATGTGGTTAATCATGTCTACCATTGATTGTTAGACCTGTGTCAGCGAAATACTAGGTGTGTACCTACATTAAATTATACAGCCTATCATATATAATCCTTATATAAATAATATAATATCTTTTTCCATCACAGTGATGTATGGTAATTATATGTAAAGGTCCTTGAAGTAGCTAATGAAATTGGACATTTAGGGGACCCATTGAAAATAGAGAATTGGAGACCATAATGCCAAAAAGAGTCAAAAACATAATCTGAGAACAAGGGAATACAATGCCAAAAATATTCAAAATGATAATCTGAGAATAGGGAATGTAATGCCAAAAATAGTCAAAAAGATAATCTGGGAACCAGAGATCAACAAGTCTGACATCTTATAGAATATTGAATTACCAAGCAAAAATGAACTTTGTATTTGAAATGTATTTTCCCGCAAAAACATGTTTTGGTCATCACATAAGATTTAAAGAGGTATAATCTCATATTTCTCATCTCATTGGAAGATCCTGGTTCAGTTGATAGTGCACTCACCTCTGAGTAACTAGATTGTGGGTTCAAGCCCCATTTGGGTACTTTAAGCTCATATTGTCTTAAATTCATACTCAACAACAACAAGATTACATTTGGATAGCGCCCTTCACGTTGGGAGGATGTCCCAAGGCGCTGGACAGTCAGTGTTTCGAACTGGGGGTCGGGATTGCGGAGAGTGAAGGGCAGGGGGTGAAGGGCAAAGGGGGAAGGAGGGTGATCGAAGGCATGGTTGAAGAGTAGGGTTTTGAGATCGGCCTTGAAAGAAGCAAAGGAAGGGGCAAGACAGAGGAACTGCAGGATGGAGTTCCGGAGAGTGGGGGCAGAGCGACTGAAGGCTTGCCCACCAATGGTGGGGCAGGTGAGGCGGGGGACGTGCAGCAGGCCAGAGTCCGCTGAGCGAAGGGTGCGGGCAGGGTGGTAAAGGGTTAGGAGTCACAGGTAGAGGGGAGCAAGGCTATGGAGGGCTTTGAAGGTGAAGATCAGGATCTTGAAATGTAAACAAAAACAGAGAGAGCGGGGAAATCTCAACAGGTCAGGCAGCATCTATGGAGAAAGGAAAGTGAGTTCTTTTTCCATAGATGCTACCTGATCTACTGAGTTTTCCCAGCTCTCTTTGTTTTTGTTTCAGATTTCCAGCATCTGTAGTATTTTCTGTTTTGTTCTTGAACTATATACTCTAGATGAGTGATGGGAAGCCAGGTGAATTGGGCGAGGATGGGGGTGATCAGGTCACGGAGTCTGGTGCGGGAGAGGACATGGGCTGTAGAAAATACTCAAATGCAGTGTTGGAGAATGCTGCATTGACAGAGGTGCTTTCCTTCGGATGAGACAATTAAACCAAGGTTCTATCTGCTTGTTCAGATAGATGTCAAAGATCCCGTGGGAGAAGGGAGTGTCCCAGTTTCCTGGTCAACAAATCCACCAAATAAAATTGGGCATTCACTTCATAGCTGTTCGTGGGACATTGCTATGCAAAAATGGGCTGCCACATTCACCTTCAAATACACAGACACTTTACAGTAAACTCCTTTGAAGTGCTTTGAGATGTCTTATCGATATGGAAGGTGCTATTTCAAATGCAAGGATTATTATTATTATATGTGGTTATAGGATCCGAGTGACATCAAAAAGTTTTTAAGCAATACAGATCCTTGAAGTATAATCAACAACAACAACAAAATTACGTTTATAGAGTGCCTTTCATGTCGGGAGGACGTCTTGAGTATTGGCTTAGCAATGTTAAATGTTAAGATTTTGTTTCCCATAATAAATTTTAAAAATCTTTCATAGGTTTGGGATGAACTATTTGTCTGGTGTTTCAAGCACTCAAAATAGTATTCCCCTAGTGCAAAACGTAGTTATTGAAAACAACTACAGTCTAGGTATGTGATCCATTTATTTTTAGTCCACTTTGTGGTAATAAAGAAATGAAGAAATATTTTATTATTGTGAAAAAATATTGCAAACTCTGAAATCTTACATAACAAAATTATCAAGTGTATTGCAGTAATCAAAACTATTGTTTTAAAAAACTTACCAAAAATTCATGAATCCAGACTTAGATAAAACATCAAAGGCTGTACTGAGGAGTAAGAGAGAGGTTGGCAAGTAGATCTCCAATAGCTTACTCATTAGAGCAAAGTACATAAATGGTGTGCTTGTAAATAGTGATATGTATTACAATCGTAAGTGATACTGCATACATATTTACACCAGAAAAAAAAACCAAAATACATTTTTAGATTTTATATGTTAACTCAATTTTACATCAAAAACCTTAAAATGTTCCCGAATCACAAATAATTTATTATGCAATATTTTATCACCTAAAATCTTGCCCTGTCTCAGCCTCCTATCTTATCCATAGTACTTTTCATTGTCACTTTTCATTACATAGCTTAATTTCTTGTCCCATGATGAAGTTCTATTTTGAGGCTAAGTGAGTCTAAGCATATAGCTGAAAAATTATCCTGTGAATCAGGCAGGGGGTGGGAATGTAAAGCAGTTCTAGTTGCATTGATATCCCACCTATACACTTACCAGCTTTATAAGTATCACACTCAGATATTTAAAGTGTGAAATATTAACTTATTACATCAATTAATCATATCTATAATCATATATAAATAAACACAAACCCTCTAAACAGTACACGTTTCAATCAAACTTTTGTTTCAAGTATGAGTCACTCGTTTACTTTTAATTATTAAAATGAATCTTTTAATGAAAAGCCTTGAAGCCTCAGGGTTCATCCCTAAAATCATTACAAAGTACATTTGTGCTGGAGAAAAGCAGATATTATTCTCTTTATCAGGTCCATGCAGAAAAATAAATATTAAACAGCTGTGCTGTTGAAGCTGCAATTAAAAACTGATCACTTATCTCCATCCCCTCGTCTTGATCAGGAATCCCCATTGTCTTTGTAAAGCATTTTAAGATATTTACTGTATATGAAGGTGCTTCAAGCTACAAGTTTAGTTATATTTAAATAAAGGTTAAAAAATTGCTTGTTTGTTTAAAGACCTCCTAGTATCCAGGAAGCCAATAGGACTGCACCAAGTGTATCAATGGTTATCCACAGGCTTTGTTTGGAGGCTTGAGTCCAGTAAGGTTGTTCTGTGTTTGTTTGGTTCATTATTTTGACTTACCAACTGCAGTTTTCTGAACAGCATAAGGTCGTATTGCAAATTGATTGTAGTTATTTAGTTTATTAATGTGAAATTAATGGAATTATGTTTGTAATAGATCCACTGCTTTTTACAAGAAGGAGTTACTATCAACAGTTTAATATATTAGTAAATTGTAACATTAGTTTTTTCACAAAAAGTTATTACATTAAAATGTATGCTCCCATCCCTTTAGCAGTAAATTTTCAGAATCTGTTCTTTAGGAGTCCATTCAGTCTGTGTAGTGACATATTTGCTTAATGGAGCATAGATAAATATAATGCTCAGCTGTTACTTGAAATGTGTTCAGACAATATTTAGAAGCCTCCATGAAAATTCGCATTCTACCCGTAATGGATTTGAATTATTAATAAGGATTTTAAGCACTGACAGTACTAACCAGGGTTCCCAGAGAAGGAAATTTTCCCCTGGTGTCCTGACTAACAATCCTTCACCTTATGTAGGTTGTTACTTTTCTCAATTAGGCTTCCTGTATCTAGATACCCCCCATGCCATGGATAATTTCCACGGCTATATTGCCCATGATAGTTTTCTTTTGTACAATCAAGGATAAAATTGTCAAGAAAACCTCTGAAATCAGTAATTATGATGCAAATATCAGTCACTTTTTGTGGCAACGAAACCAACCAACCATTTTAACTACATTTTAGGCACAAAAGCAATTTAAAAATTGTAACAAATTTAAGGAAACAAAAGTACCTACAATTTACAAAATACTAATTTAACAGTACATTTCTAAGACAAAATCCTACCACACAAAAAGTACCTTCACAAAATATTTTGTTTGCATAACGGTTCACAAGTGATGTGACTCCACAATGCATGCTGTAATTAGATGTTCAGAACTATTGGAACTGACAGTGGGGAAGAGGGAGCGGGGGAAAGTGAAACAGGAAGAACAGAAGGTACTGAATCAGGAATGACGCAAGAGATTTGTTTGATGCAGAATTGTTAGCATGTTATTCTTGGCTCTGTATTTTGTCATGAAAAATGAATCCTGGTGTGTGCTGATTTAGCTGATCTCAGAGGAGCAGCATTTGGGGTGCTAGAATTGCCCTCACCTTCTTTGGTTACCACAGTCAGCCTGGTTCAATGACAGGACCTGGAAGGATAGACCAGTCACTGGGTGGGCAGGGAATCATCCCACTCAGCTTCTGTCAATCTTGCAAGCCAAAGCCCTAATGGATAGGGTGGTCCTAGCTGGACAAACAGTGCGAAAGCTTGCCAGACAGCGAGATCAGTGGCTAACTATGCCATTGATTAAACTCCACAGTATCCCAACACACATTCTGGGATCCCCAAGCCTTGGCTCTTTCCAACCTGGGTCTAATACATTCAGGAATTAGGCAAGCAGGATGCATTCCTCCAGGGAGAGGATGTGCATTCCAGGAACTTTCCACTCCATTCCAACAATCTCTCTCACTAATGTCCATGTGTAGGTGGGGTGCATGGAATTCTCAGCTTGGTTTGGATACTCTTTAAGTGGTGAAGATGATGGGTTTCCACAAGTGTCAGACATTGGCTGACCAAAAAAAAATGGGTTAGGGAGAGTAAAAATCCGCCTGGGTTCCCATTGTTGATCACTATGTAGGCACCTACTTATGTGTAGTAAGGTGAGGGCATGGACTTTGAATTTGAAAATACTGGATGTTTGAGGAAACAATTGATTTCAAAGTTTTTTTGTGATCTTTGTGGTTATGAAGCAGTAAAAGTGAAGTTCAAACCGCATTTTATTTGATAATTCATGTTATTATTCAGAAAACGAAGAAACTACAACCATTGACATGGTCGATGCTATGCAATTAGGAACTAATGAACAGGTGAGTAAATGGTTTCTGACATATTCTAAATTGCAGTACCGAAAGTCTTTATTTTGTAATGTTGGTAAACTTGGAAAGTCACAATGTTCCAAGGTATACTGGAGGCAGAAGAACTCTCACCTCACCATCCTCAAAGCTAACGTCACAGGTTTGCAATTTGAGACATTTGCCTTCAGACAGGCAGCTTATTACTAAAAGCAGCCATTCTGCTAAGCAGTAATCAAATAACAAGATTCAGGAGCCAGTAGTTAAATGAATGAGAATGATAACATCAGTAACTGGCATCTTCAATATGGTACAAGAGATTTGCAGAGCCTCAGGGTAATATTTTTAAAATATAGTATGGTAAAGAACTTTTATTTCATATCTGTCTGAGTGTGAAAATGATACTTGTGCCCCCACAGTTATATCTAAAGCAGAAAAGTATAACTAAGGATTATAGCTGCAAGACAAATTAGAAGCTTTGTGCATATTTTGTTAATTCTCAATATGTCTGATGTAGCAGTGAGGTTTCTTTAGATGATAGATACATAGAAATTTACAGTACAGAAGGGGCCATTCAGCCCATTGAGTATATACCTGCTCACAGAGCAAGATCACTACAGTCTCACCTCCTTGCCTTATCCCCAAATCACTTCAAGCCGTTTCACATTCTGTCTATTTCTCTCTTGAAAGCTCCAATGAACTCCATCTCCCCCACTCTAATTGGAAGGGCATTTCACATTCAAACGGCTCTCTGGGCTGAAAGATGTTCTCCGAAGTTCTCCGTTCTCTGTACTTGTGGCTATCTTATAACTATGTCCCCTATCAATGGGAATAACCTCTCGTTATATACTGATAAATCCTCTCAGAATTTTGTACGTGTCTATCAGGTCCCTCTTCAACCTCTGTTCCAATGAAATCAAACCCAGTTTCTCTAATCTCTCCTCATAACTAACTCTTCAACCTCAGAATCATTTTCGTAAGCCTGTCTACACCTTCTAAGGTCTTAATATCTTTCCTGGAGTGAGGTGCCCCAAACTGGATGAAGTAGGACTCCATTTGTGGCATAATCAATGATTGGCATTGTTGCTTTTATTTACTTTTGTATAACACCCAGCAGTCCATTAGATTTCCTTACGCCTTTTGCCACTTGCGATGTCACTTTCAACTGTGACCTATGCAACTGCACTCCAAATGCCTTTATTCCTCAGTTCCTTGCAAGATACTGCCACTCAATATTTACTCCATTTCCTCGATTTTTCTACCAAAATGAATCACCTCACATTTCACTTCAATAAACTTCATGGGCCCTGTACCAAACCAACCCAGCTTTCTGCATTTGGCAGACACCAGCTCTACCCCCTCCACCATTGGCAGACAGGCTTTCAGCCTATTTGCTCCCACTCTCTGGAATTCCCATCTTAGAGTCTCTCAAACAGCTCCCTCCCTCACCTCTTGCAGGGTGCATTTCAAGACCTACCTCTTTGACTGCGCTTTTGGTCATCTTTCCTTTCGACTTCAACTCATACCCCCATCCTGAGCCAGGCCAGGATTGTTAAACATTTTGTGACCTCCTCCAGACATAAAAGATACTATATAATGGTGAATTTTTATTGTATCAAGTATCAGAAATATGCTATATGTCTTTGCCACCTGATATATAACAAGCTTAAAGTAGCCAATGTGCCTTCTGACGTCTCATAGAATGATAAAGAATCTACAAGAAACATATTTGATGGGGCAGACTGATTTGATGTGCTATTACTGACTGAACGTTTTGCAATACATAATAATGTTTTGGACAACTTGCTAAGCAAGCAAAATAAGACCTGTGTATTATTTCTTAGGAAATTGCTGTTGAAGAGGATTCTCCAGAAATAAATCTGCTCACAGGAGCTATTATTACTGCAACACCATCAGCAAAAAAAAGGAGAGTATTACAACCTATAGACTTGTCAGGAGCAGACTCTGCAACAGCCAGTTGGTCAGAGGTGTATGAAGATGCACCATTGCAGGAAGAAGTGGCAGTGTCGTCAGTGGTAAAATCATTAATATCAACGGTTGTGCTATCAGAACCAGAGACAGGTCAAGCCAGTGAACAGCCAGTGATAGAGTCACTGAACCCACTAAATGAAATCTTGTCAGAGCAAAACAACGTTGAATCAATAGCAAAACAACTAGTAGCAGGCAATGTATTGTCACCAGTGAACTTGTTCAGACCACTCAGCAGTGAGTCATTAACTAAATCACCAATGAATATGGCACCTTTGATCAAATGTCAGTTTGCGCAGAAAGATGGGTCAATACTGATTGAGACAATGGAAGAAAAACGTCAAGAGGTGCCCGTGGAATTGTTAGCACCAATGAACAGAATGCCATTGTTTAATTCAGACATGAAACCATCAGCAGCAACAAATAATAAATTGGTAGTTCATTCATCCAATGAAAGGACCCTGGGATTCAAGAATGATGGCTTTATGCTTCATGAAGGTGATACACAGGCTGACGATGACCTTACACAAGTAACAGATTATGATCTACATTCACAATCTTTGATAGAAAATGAGAATCTGGGGCCCACAAGTGTTCAGGTATAGATCAGCTTTAACATCATTATGGTTTTTTCTATATGTTTAACATACTATTTTTGTGGATGGCTATTTTTACATAGCTTGGGTGCCAAGCCAGGACTGTCAAGCACCTGGTGACGTCCTGCCGATGTAAAAGGTGCTATATAAATAGAAATTTGAATCGTATTATATTGTATTGTAATGATTCTAATTTGTATCATTTGCTGGTCAGTGGAAACAATCTTCTATTTACTCTATCAAAGTCTCCATTATATCACATTGATCTTTTCCACTCCTGCAAAACACAGACCCAACTAAAAACATTATACTATAGTTTTTTTTACAATGTGTACAGTTAGAGTATTAAGTAATGAATCCCAAATATGATCTTTTTATAACTGCAGAAGAAACAGAATCAAGCAAACCCATTTAAGATGGTTCCTCTTTACAACAACAACAGCAAAATTACATTTCTACGGCCACTTTCACTTCGGGAGGACGTCCTAAGGCGCTGAATCTGGAAGACTTCAATTAAGTCAAAGCTAGACAGAAGATGGATAATAATAATCCTTGCATTTCATATAGTGCTTTATGACTTCATCAAAACATCTCAAGCACATCATAGAATTTTTTAATGTAAAGTGTAATGACTGTATTTGTAGGTGAACTCGGCAGCCAATTTATACGCAGGGATGTCCAAAAGTAGTCATGTTGTGAATGACCAATTTTAATTGGGAGATTGTTGGCCAGGACACTGGGAGGAACTTTGTGTTATTTCTTCAAAGAATTTTTTAAGCCTGGCCATCATTTCATAAATCCATGCTAGCTGCTCTTAATTATACTCTACTTCTTGAGATGCTCAGTTATTTAATCATCCGTGTTTTGCCCCCAAACTATACAGTCAATTCACTTTACAGTGTATTCTCTGAAGCACTGAGAGGTTTCGAAGACCTGATAAGGCGCCATATCAAATGCAAGGATTATTATTCTTTTATAGACTCCAATGCCTTTGTCACCATGGATGTTAAGCTAAATGGCATGTAGTTTTGATTCCCAGCAGAGCGAAACCGTGGGTAAATTTCCTTACTCCACACGCCTAATAATAATCCCTCAAGAAAAAAAAATAATAAACTGGTCACTTCAATTCATGACTGTTTGTGGGACAATGCTGTGCTCAATTGGCTGCCGCGTTTTGCCCACAAATATACAGTCAATTCACTTTACAGTATATTCTGTGAAGCGCTTTGAGACGTCTAGAAAATGGGAAAAGCGCTATATCAAATGCAAGGATTATTATTATTATAGTTTCCTGGATTAGCTCTGTCTCCTTTTTAACAATGTGAATTATATTTGCCAACCTCCAATTCTCTGGTACAATTCCTTTTCCTACTGAATTGTTAAATATTTATATGTCTATGGGTTCCCTTCTGAGACATCTCCTTTCAAAGATGAAGAGCCTTAGTTTATCCAGTCATTTCTCGTAGCTCATTCTTTTATCTGTAAATGACTATTTGATTGAAGAAACTTACTGTTGAGTCTGCTTAATGTTACACTCGGTTGGACCAGACAAAATTTTACGTACTATAATAATACAGGTTCCCTTATAAACATTTGCAAACACTTTCAGACATTTCTGAAGGAATTTACAATTTCAAGGATAAGAAAAAAAAGACAAATCCTACATGTTACTTTAATTTCACTGTAACTCTGCAGCTCATATCCTCTCCCGCATCAGGCTCCGGGACCCCATCACACCCACCCTCGGCTGGCTCACTGGCTCCCCATCCCTCAGAGGATTGAATTCAAAATCTTCCACCTCACCTTCAAGGCCCGCCATGGCCTTGACCCCTCCTACCTCTCCAACCTGCTAACCCCTTATGAACCTGTCTTCTCCCTCTGCTCAGCAGGCTCCGGCCTGCTCCATGTCCACCTCCCAGCCTACCCCACCATCAGCGGTTGGGCCTTCAGGCTCTCTGCCTCCACCCTCTGGAACTCCATCCCACTTTCCTTTCACCTCGCTCCCTCCCTTGCCTGCCTCAAGACCCTTCTCTTCAACTGCCTTCGGCCACCCTCTCTGCCCTTCACCTGCCACCCCCCACCCCGACTGTTCAGCACCTTGGGACATCCTCCCAACATGTAAGGTGCTTTACAAATGTAATTTTGTATTGTAATCAGAGTTATTGTTGAATAAAATAAATAAAATAAAATCAGTTACAGTATTTATGTAGAAACTGGAGTAGGCTATAGGCTATTCAGCTTATTGAGCCATTTTATAAGATCATGGCTGATCTATACTTCAAGTCCAGTTACCCACACTTGCCCCATATCCCTTAAAACCCTGACCTAACAAATATTTATCCACCTCCATCTTGAAAATGTGAATGGATACAGTAATTGTAATTGTTTTATCATTTAAATTGAATCACAAAAATAACAGCCACTATGATCAGTAAAATTATATTAATATATTGTACTTTTATTATAAAATACTATTCTGTAACAGTCTTTTCTGATTGGAGTGTCTGCCGCCATCAACCTGCCCCACGCTCCCAATGGACCATCCACCTGTCTGTCCATCAATCCATCCATCACTCACATTGGATCATCCACTTGTCTCTTCATTCCGGATTTCAAGTGCAAGAGTGAGGTTCCAGACTGTAAGTGTATTGTAACAATTATGCAAACTCAACTGTATATATTTTTCTGTTTATTCTACAGCTTTCAGCTGATAAGAATGAAGCTGCAGCAGATCCTTCTGAATGTGAACCTGTGGAAAATATAGAAAAAGGCCAGGACATCAAGAAAACAAGCAACAGTTCACATCAAGATGATGCAGTTAAGATTTGCATTCCACGAAAATCTACAAGGAGAAGAGTTAATCTAGACCGTCTGTGCTTTAACTTGCATGTTTCTCAGTGTCACAACTCTCAACCCTTCCAATATTCAGCGGAGAGAAAGAGAAAAGCACCGTCTTCTGACTGTGAAGATCTCTCAGAGAAACTGCTGAACCACAGAAAAACAAAGAGAGTGCAAAACTCCCAACATTCAGCAAGAGATTGTAAAAACAGTAACGTTCCATCATTAGCATGTATTGAATTCTCACAGAACGTGCAAACTAAGAAATGTGCAAATGTGCAAACTAAGGAAGCGCAGTTCATTAAAAATACCAAGACATTTATGATTCAGCCTCAACAAGGCAATAGGAAAACTAGGGCAGAATTACGTAAAGCACAGAATCACAAGAAACGCAACAGGTAAGTTATGCAATGACAAATTATTTCTTCATTTTTTCCTCCATTAAATTCCCACCTGTTTTTCTCAAGATATTTTGCCCACAAAATATACAGTCAATTCACTTTGCAGTATATTCTGTGAAGCGCTTTGACATGACATCTCAATGACATGATAAGGCACTATTTCAAATGCAAGGATTTTTTTCTATTATTAAGATGGAGGCTGAGCTTCCTCAATTTATATTTTCTCATGGCTAAGATGAGAAGTGAAGAAATACAGACTTGGAAGGGATTAGAATGTGAATGCCATTGAATTTCAGCGCCTTGGGACATCCTCCCAACGTGAAAGGCGCTATACAAATGTAATCTTGTTGTTAAATTTAGCCACCTAGATAGACTCACTGAAGGCTTCCCTTTATATGGCACAAGAGGCCAAAATTCCACCCATTTTGACTTATTGCACACAATTATGAAAATTTCTTAAAATCTTAATTTGGATGCTGGTTCTTTTTAGGAACTGAAGGAAAACTAGCTTCCAAATTAAAGGCACTAGAATTGGCCTCATAGCTCTGAGTTAAGGAGGGGAAAAGTCTGCCAGGGTGTTGCTTCTCAGGGCTACCAGTAATTCCCAATGGAGATGTGCTTATGGACTTTAGGTGAAAACCAGATTAAACTCAGCTGAGATGTCTTCTAAAGTTGAAAAAGCCAGCTGATACTTACTGGCAAGTGACATAAATAATGGGCACTTGAGCAAGTTATCAGAAGATGAGTTACAGTATCCCAGAGGAAGGAAAATGAATCGGCTGCATTTAGGAAAGGAAGCTTAGCCTCCTTCAAGTCCCGCCTGAAGACCCTCCTCTTTGACCATGCCATCGGCCACCCCCCTTCCTCTCCCCTCCCTTCCCAACTCCAGCTCGGGTCTGAAATGCTGTACTCTATCCAGCGCCTTGGGACGTCCTCCCGACGTGAAAGGCGCTATACAAATATAAAAATCTTGTTGTTGTTGAAGTAGGGACAACATTGGAGAATTGGTGTCCATGAGAAAAAAAATACCAATTTAAACTAACATTCATTATACTTTGTATATGAAAAATACAGTCATTTCAAGTCATGCAACTCATAGTGGAACTTAAGCAAATTTATTGTAAGTACTGTATGTATGTATATATATATTTAAATTAATTTTATACAGGACTACCTTTTCCACTGGAAAAGCAGATGAGGAAAGAAAAAAACTAACAGGTGATGAAGCTGGCAGTAAGCAAAGGTCTTCACAGTTTAGGAAGATACATACAAGAAGTTCGTCTCAGCATTCAAAAGCCAAAAAAGAAACTAGCCTAAGTTGTGATACCCAAAGCAAGGCCAGAAATAATAGGAATGCAGAGAATATTGGTAAGGATTTTACTAAAACACCATTTGCCACATGTAAACTCTTATAAATAAGTTAATTTGATTCAATATTATTATACAGTAGATCATTCTAATCTGCTATAACTGTTTTATCATGAAACTTGACCCTTTACTTTTTATCTGAATCATTTTAAGTGGAGGATGTGCTATTTTGCTTCTAGATAAAAATACAGAAATCCCACGATAAGATCACTCTGCCAAGGTCATCAATTTTAGCAACCAGTGAAAAAGTGCAAGTTCTGTGTGTCAGCCTGGCTCAGTTGGTATCACTTTTGTGTCTCTATCAGAAGGTTGCGGGTTCAAGCTCTATGTAATGACTCATATAGACTAAATGGACGTTAAACCGAGGCTTGTCTACCTGCTCAAGTGAATGTTAAAGATCCCATGTCACTATTCAAAAGGGAAGAGAGTTTCTCCCAGTGTCATTCACTCCATAGCTGTTTGTGAGACATTTCTGAGCACAATTTGGCTGCTACATTTGCCCACAAAACCCATAGTCACTATACTTTACAGTATATTCTGTAAAGCACTTTGGGATGTTCGAAATGTGAAAGGCACTATATTAAATGCAAAGATTTATTGATTTAAAATATAGCACCTTTGAATCAGAAGGACAGCTCAAAGAGCGTCACCGAGTTTACTGTAAAGAATAGGAACTATGCGTTTTGTAGGGAAAATGCAGCAGCAAATTTGTGTACAGCAATGTTCCACTAACAGCTATGAAGGGAATGACCAATTTTATCTGGGGATTGTTGGCCAGGACACCGAGAGAAAATCCCTTCTCTTTTCAAATGGAGATATGGGATCTTTAACTGAACAGGTAGACAGACTCAATTTAAAATCTCATCCAAAGGACATCACCTCCCAAAAGCACCTCCAATAATGCAGCACATCCCTAGCACTGCATTGGAGTGTCAACCTAAATTATGTGCATTCAAAGTCTCAATGGGGGGCTTGAACCCACAGAGTTCTGACTCAGAAGTGAGCCAGGCTAACATTCAAGTTTAACAACCTTACACTGAGGCTATGAATCCAGGTCAATAATTATATACAAGGAGTAGGATCAAAAGAACTTAGAACATGTTTTACATAATAATACCTTGTGTTTCTATAGTCCCCATCACATAAAAGCCTTGAAACACGTTATGAAATATAATTTATTAGAAATGGAGATTGGCAGGCAATATGCAGATGTTACACATTTATGAAAGATAATTTGATTTGAATCATGTGAGGAGATTCATCTCCGTGTTGTGACATGAATTCTTCTTATTCATTTCCACACACTCTAAAGCATTGCTGATGACACTAGTCAACCTGATTCATCAGGACTTGGAGGAGCAAACCAATCATTGGGGACAGAGATGATTCTCACTCGACTAATCTGTTGTACACCAGATCTGTTTCTTATGAGATATATTTAAGATATTTATTGAAGACTAGCTCTTTAGCACAGGGTTATGTGTTCCCAGAAGACAATAACCTTGTTTCTTATAGACTTGAATGCTGTGTTGTTATTTTAATTTTAGTCCTGGCCATCTCTGCCAAGGTGAAAGTTGACAACAATTTAAAGTTTTTTTTATTTTGTGATGTTCTGGAAATTTGAACAGATGTTGCAAAATGGAAAGAAATTAAAGTGGAAGGGAAGAGAATGGTTATCTGTTAATGGAAAAAAAAAGGCCTGTTGAATTTTTGGCTTCTCTTGCATAAAGGAAGAAGAATTAGGATGGCCGCAGTAGAAAAAAAAGGACTGAAATGTTTCCCAGAGGCACCCTTATTTATAATAATAATAATAATCCTTGCATTTGATATAGCGCTTTTCACGTCGGGAGGACGTCCCAAAGCGCTTCACAGAACACACTGTAAAGTGAATTGACTGTATATTTGTGGGCGAACGCAGCAGCCAATTGCGCACAGCAATGTCCCACAAACAGTCGTAGATTGAAAATGACCAATTTATTATTGTTTTTGGTTTTGGAGGGATTATTATTAGGCTCTGTGTGGAGTAAGGAAACTTGCCCAAGGTTTCGCCCTGCCTGGAATTGAACTCAGGTCTCTCACTTGCAAAGCGAGTGCTCTAACCACTGAGCTACAGGACTCCACAGTTTTAGTTCAAGATGTTCAAGATGTGGAAGATAAAGGGAAAGATGGCCCAATATATTTCCTTGGTTGAGTAGATGACATTAATTTTAATGAATAAAAAAACTTACATCTGGATGCAATTTTCAGCCAAGATGAGGTGATACAGAAGTGGGGCTGATTGTCTGGTAACATCTTGGTGAAAAACAAATACACTAGCATCCATCTGAAAACATTTTCAAAGCCCAAACATAAAAATTGTTGCAATCACTATGTCATTCTGTTTGGTACTGGTATAATTTTCAGTTGGCCTTCAGCCTTTTTGTTGCCACTCCCCAGAACTCCATCACAAAGTCCCTCTGATTTGCTCCTTTCCTCACTTCATTAGTGTCTGTCTCAAGATCTACTTCTTTGTACTTTTGATAATCTTTCCCACCCCCAGCTCAGATACCAAGCTATTATTGTTAGGCGCCTTAGGATATCCCGATGTGAAAGACGTTATATATATATGTAAATTTGTGATATATTGTATCAATTGTCAAAAGAGTTAGCTGTTTAGATTTAAGTGTGTGAAACAAGATATTGGAGATTAAATCAAGATTGGATTGAATAGAACTATTTCTAACATTACCACAATTCATGTGAAATTTTAAAATGTAATTATTAAATGAAATGTTATACTTTGAAATACATTTTAGAGATTTGTTTTTGATGAAAAATGACCTTGCCTGTTTATTCCATTAATTAGTGTCACAATTACAGTTAATTGTCTCTTTTTTTTAATTAATTGATTAAGACGTGGACCTCATACATTAATTGCGTTATAAGCAGTGTATCGGTCAAATTATAAAATAGCAAAATCACTGAAATTACTTTTCTTGAATTTATAATTTTTTAGTAGGTAGTGAATCATCACTGAGCTCCTTGACAGCATCTGCTTCCAGTAGTTTTCCTTTCTCACTGGCTCACGCAAATAGGAGAAACCTTTATGGAGAGACAAAATTACACATAGCTGTGAAGAATCGGGACCTGAACATGCTTCGAGCATTTATACAAGCAGGTGTCAATGTAAATCTGCCAGATCATGCAGGTAAGATCAGCCTTAGAGGATTCATGTTACTAGAACGGCATTCACGTTCTGAATTCTGTTGAACTTTCGATGAACCGTTTTTGGTTTGGGATAATGTTCTACTTGGTAACTGATCTGTTTGAGAGATTATTCAATGCAAATACTATTACTTTGACAATACAAACAATATCCAGACCTAGATTAATCATAAAAAGATACCAGGCAGGGAAGTTAAAGTATATGTATCGCTTTTTTTGTTTTCAGCTTGTAGCTTTTTTAAAAACTAAACAATGGCTGAGCAATATTGTTGATGAAACAAGTATTATTGACAACATTTTCAAAAGGATCAAAGAATTGACTGTGGAGAGGAGGCTGGTGTTTGATTTCATGGAAGAATTCTTTAGCTCTGTGAAATGTTTGCACTTGTTAGTAAGACCAAAACAAGAGGCATAAACAGAAAATAGTCTGTAGCAGATCTAAGAGGGAGTTTAGGAGTAACTTATTTGTTCAGTGGGTCAGTGGGAATATGGAACTCACTGCTAGAGTGAGGTTGAAGCAAAAAGTATCAACATATTTAAAGGTATCTTGATCTTTACTTGTTTGAGAAAGGAATAGGGATAAATGAGACACATGGAGGCTTGTATGGAGAATAAATACTGGAATAGATTAGTTGGGCTGAATGGCCCAGTTTTGTGTCGGAAGGTTCTATGTAATCCTATGTAAAAAAAAATCTCAATGATCAGCATTTTCTATAGTGTAGTTTACAGTTTACTCTTATAATAATATTATAATATTATATAATATAATATATAATAATATAATGTATATAATATTGTATAATATAAGCCTAATAATAATACCTCAAGAAAAAAAACAATAATAAATTGGTCACTTCAATCCACGACTGTTTGTGGGACACTGCTGTGCGCAATTGGCTGCCACGTTTCACCCACAAAATATACAGTCAATTCACTTTACAGTATATTCTGTGAAGCGCTTTGAGACATCTGGAAGACATGAAAAGCACAATATCAAATGCAAGGATTATTACAGGTGGGTTAGAATTAGATTTAGATTCATTTAGCAGTAAAATATTCATATTACTGATACAAAATCATCTTAAATGTTATCAATCTTTCATGTGAATTACATTTGGAAATAGAGTTATGTGTGGTAACTACCATAATCTCTTGAAATGATTGAATGCAAATATTATTACTCTTGCCGCTATGTTAAACCTTTCCAGAAGTTTACTTGTGCTTCATCTGAATGTCATTTAATCTTTTCCCTTCATGCAGTAGAACATTTCTGAAACAACAAAATTTCATTAAAAGCTATTAATGCCTTTTAAGAAGAGCTAGATAAATATGCGCATCTGGTTAAGTATGGACTTGATGTTTGTACAGAAATATATGGTTAGAGGGGATCAGATTACATAGAACAGATGGTTGCTGTGCTCCGAGAGCTTAAATAATACAACTGGACAGGGTTAACTACTTGTAATGTTATACTGATTATCCTGAAGTTTCATCTTATTGGCTTTAGAAAGAGGTAAGAACTCGTATTTGTATAGGGCCTTTTCATGTCCAGTGCTTTACAGGTAATAGCTATCAAACGTTGCAACTTTTTTTATTTCAGGCAAATATGCCTACCATTTTATGTCAGCAATGGTTGCACAATAGTTGAATTAATTAGTTGAATGATAAACTATTCTGGAGGATTATTGACTGGGACACTGGAAGGAACTCCCTTCTTTTTCTGAAAAGTGTCATGGGATCTTTAACTCCCACCTGACAACAGGCAGACTAGGATCTCAGTTTAATGTCTCCTGAAAGACAGCTCATCTGATAATAATAATAATAATAATAATCCTTGCATTTGATATAGTGCTTTTCACGTCGGGAGGACGTCCCAAAGCGCTTCACAGAACACACTGTAAAGTGAATTGACTGTATATTTGTGGGCGAACGCGGCAGCCAATTGCGCACAGCAATGTCCCACAAACAGTCATATGGATTGAAAATGACCAATTTATTATTGTTTTGTTTTTTTGGAGGGATTATTATTAGGTGTGTGGAGTAAGGAAACTTGCCCAAGGTTTCGCCCTGCCTGGAATTGAACTCAGGTCTCTCACTTGCAAAGCGAGTGCTCTAACCACTGAGCTACAGGACTCCACCAGGACTCCAGTGCCTTATCATGCCTTCAAGACATCTCAAAGTGCTTCACAGAATGTACTATAAAGACAGTGCAGCACTTGCCCAAATCAGCATCATCTAGTGTTGCATTTGGGAAGTGCTATACTGTTAACTCAAGTCCTACTCAAAATATCACAAGAGAAGTTAAGATGGAAGAAGGCCAATTTGATGCTATCCATCCAGAACACGCTCCCTACTGTCCTCCCATTAAGGTATTAGTTTTCATCCTGTCCTTCAGATGAGGCAATAAACTGAGGTACTACCTGCCTGTTTGAAACCTTTCAAAAACGATTAATGTTATTATTGTTCTCACGCTGTTTTTAAATTGGTGTACCATCCTGGCCTCTTTTTGGTTACCTGTTCCAATTGTTAATTACCTTCTGATTAAAGAAATATTTCCTGTTGTCTGACCTGAAAATTTCTCTTTGCAACTCTAAACCTGTATCTTCGTATTCTGCTGCTCTATGAATAATAATAATCCTTGCATTTTATAGAGTGCCTTATCATGCCTTCGAGACGTCTCAAAGTGCTTCACAGAATGTACTATAAAGTAAATTGACCATATTGGGTGAAACGCAGAAGCCAATTGCGCACAGCAACGGTCCTGGAGTCAAAGGGGAGGCAGAGAGGTAGAGTTGGGTGTCATCCGCATACATGTGGAAGTTGACCCCATGTCTGTGGATAATTTCACCAAGAGGGAGCATATAGATGTTGAAGAGGAGGGGACCAAGAACAGCCCTGAGGAACATTGCATGAGAAGGTGCGGGGGCTAGAGAAGAAATGTTTGAGGAGATGAAGTACAGGCCGTGTGAGAGGTACGATCTGAATCAATCAAGGTCAGTGCTGTGGAGGTTGAGGTGAGAGAAGAGGCGGTGGATGAAGATAGAGTGGTCGACAGTGTTAGTTGTGAGTTGATTGGCGGATCACTTTTCGCTTCAAAAAATTAATCATAACAATTTAGTCACTCAATCCACGACTGTTTTGGGGATACTGCTATGCGCAATTAGCTGCCGTGTTTCGCCTACAAAATATACTTTGTGAAGCGCTTTGAGAAATCGTGAAGACTTGATAAGGAGCTATATCAAGTGTGAGGATTGAGACCCGATCTGGTGAGCTTAGTTCTGGCTTAGTGTTATTAGATTGCAGGTACTGGCCTTTTTTCGATGCCGAAAAATGCAGGTTAAAGCATTGTAATTGTTTGAATCTCGCAAGCATAAAATACAGAATAAGCAATCTTCTGCTTTCGGGATTCAAACTGAAAGTCAATATCGCTGGTCAATGTGAAGGCCAGCAAACACAGTGCGTTGGGGGGGTGCACTAGGAGAATGGGCCAGCAGGCGTTTACATGTGACACGAGGAACATTTAAATTTTTAGGTTTCAGGCCAGGTCCGGCTAGGTTTGAATTCCAGATAGCCGGGGTTTACTGTATTCTTCTTTCCTATAGGCTGGACACCACTGCACGAAGCAAGCCTTCAAGGTTTCCATGAGATAGTACAAGAGTTGCTATCAGCTGGAGCGGAAGTTAACTGTAAAGGGGACTGTGGTGTAACACCTCTACAGGATGCAGCCATCAGTGGGCACTATCAGGTACAATAAAGATTAATCATTTACATTTCAAAACCCCGTGGAGTTAGGATCTGTATTGCTAGAAATGGATTGAGCTGATGAACTATGAACAACACTGCATTTATACAGTGCCTTACATCAGGAGGATGTCTCAAATGCCTCACATATCTAACTGGGACCCCAAGCTTGGGGAATGGGAAAGGTGAACGAAAGCATGGTAAAAAAATGACATGGGGAGTTCTATGATCTACCCTGCTTCCATCTTCAACTTGCCCTTCCTCTCCAAGGTGCTGGAAGGAAGAGCTCCACGGAGATCCTGCTTATAGTTATATATGAGCATTCATAAATCCTTGGCACAATCACTTATGACATAAGGGGCAGCAGCCACTGGTTACTACCCATGCCAAGGGCTCTCTTGACACAGAACGCCAGTATATTGAAGTTTCCTAGCAATGCCAGTAATGCACTTGAAGACCATAAGATGTGCTGTTCACAACTACATAATTGATTACTTTGTTACTGTGAACTCTGTACCAATGCTACGTAATTGGCTTTCCTCAGAAGGAAGCAGAGAGCACCAAAGTTAAAGGGGTTTGATGTACCTTTGCTTGACGTATTCCAGTCTCCCACAAGAAGAATGATCAATCAGAAACCCATTGTGCAAGTCCATCAAACAAAGTGCCTTAAGATTCCTTTGGAGCTCATCACAATGCAGCTTCTGGGGAATGTCCATGGATCGACAAGCCAGTGGTTTGACCCTCTTTAGAGTATCTTTGCTCAGACAAGATTAGCCAAGTAGACTCCGACTTCTACTGCCCCTTAAAGTTAATAAACCAACACAAATTCAGAAAACTGAAAATGTTATAGATATGGCTTGCCGTGGTAACTATCAATTCCTTCAAAGGTACTTGCATTTTGATTCTAGAATTTTAAAACTTCCTAAATACGATCAGAAATAAGGTCAGCTGAATCCTGGCTTTAAAATCACACTATTGTTTTTTTCCCCAATATAATCTGTTTTAGTGCAGGTGTTCACTATTTAAATGACATTCATGATGCTTTGGGGGTGCGGGGAGAGAGGTACTTTGTTAAAATCCAGCCTATATTTTGCCAATAAACTAGATTTCCAACCCTCACCTTCCCACAACCAGTATTGATTATTTTCTGTAATAGACAGCATCTGAGCATTGCTGAGCAGTGGTAAATGGATAACATGAGTGTTTGGATGGATTTTAAAAATATATAAAAATATCCCTAGACGATTTAATGTCAGTGGGAATCATTTCATACCTGCTTAGAGGACAAATCAAGAGTTACAATTTTAACAATCTGTAATCTATGTCAACAAATATCTTTTATAAAATTGACTGTGTTATATCAATATTTATAATATAATAATATTGCTTGCATTGGTGGGCATTTTGCTCACAAAATACAGTTAAAAAACACTTTAAAAAATCCTGTGAAGCGCTTTGAGACATCCCAACAATGTGAATGGTGCTCTGTCAAATGCCACAAGTATTATAATTATTATTATCAATATTATTTATTTTGTATTCTTTGACCTGAAGATAGTCCAGTTACTTTTGCAGCACGGAGCTATTGCTATTCAAAATGCTGACATTGGGAAATGTGCACAATATGTTATCGATGGGAAGATAAAGAGACTGATTGATAACCAGCAACAAAAGCGATTGGAAAAAGGTGAGAAGCAAGCTTATATTTCACTAACATTGTAATATGACCATGATTCTTGCATATGTCAGCCTGGCTCAGTTGGTAGTATTCTTGCCTTTGGGTCAGAAGGTTGTGGGTTTATGCATGTTTTGATCTTGAGCTCATAATCTAGGCTGACCCTGGTGCGGATGCGATGCTGAGGGAGCTTTGCATTGCCAGAGGTGCGTCCTTTGAATAATATGTTCAAATTGAAATGCATTCTGTTTGTTCTGTCTGTCGTTGTTAAAGATCCATTGATACTATTCAAAAGAGAAAAAAAAAATCGCCAGCTTTCCAGGGCAACAATCCTCCAGATAAAATTGGTTGTTCACTTGATGGCTTGTGGCCATTGGTATGGGCAAATTGGTTTCTGCATTCACCCACAAATGGACATTCACTGCCCTGTAGAAATTATATAGACACCCTATCAAATGGAAGGATTATTATTATACATTATAGTATGTAAACTGAGAAGGAGGCTCCACTATCTGGATTAATATATACTGAGTTGCCATTGTCAACTGCACCAATGCGGAAGGTCAGAGTGGGAGGATACACACTTTCTTTGAGGCACAGAGGGCTGGAACTAGATAGGATGAGAAGGAAATGTCAAGGTTGTTCATGCCTCTGTCATTGTTGCACACATGCTTCAGAGCGATTATGGCAGAGGCTTAGGAGTGAGCGACAAATCTACCCTCTTGGCTGTGCCACAGCAATTCAAAGAAGAGCTTGAGATGAAAATATCTTAAAGATGCGTTCTTAACAAAAATCAAACCAACTGTAATGTGAGTTGCACATTACATTTTAGGACTAAAGTGTAATCCTTCAAGGAGTGTTGCCACAGATTCTGATAACTAATGCTTTAAAACAATGTTTTAGTTCCAACATGAAATTCATACTGTATTCAGCGTTTGTTTTGAATTAGTGTTGGTACATTATTGTTTGGGGATTGTTAGGATCCCTGAATGATGTCCCAGGGGAAATGGCCTTGCATGAAACATTCAAAGGATCTTTGAAGGATTGGAGAGTGTATATTCTACATTTACAAGGATTTTACCAGGGAAGAGTGAATATAGCTATCAAGAAAGACTGGACATTTTGCAGCTTTTCTCTCTAGACTTGAGATGAATGATACAGAACCTGATAAAGATATTTACGATTATGAAAGGATTCAATAAGGTGCATGTGAAAAGGCTGTTCTACTTGAATCCAAAACTAAAAATGCTACTAGTAGTCTAATAGTGGAGCTTAGGAGGAATATCTTCATATAGAAAGTGGTGAGAATGTGGAACAACAGAAGTTGTAATTGAAGCAAATAGAATCAATGTATTTCATTAAAAAAAACTTGATGCACACATGAGAGAGAAATGAATCAAGGGATATTGCTAAGAGGAATAGGAGGGATGGGGCTTGTGTGGAGTATAAACATCTGCATTGACTAGTTGAGTTCAGATGCCCAGAATGTCCAATGCCACATACCGGGCTTACTAAGCACCACCACAGGAAGCGGCTGCAGGGAGGGAGGGCTCCAGCCTACATTGACCTGTCAATAAGCAGCCAGGAGGCGAAGCTGGCTTTACAGCGGGTATGTCTATTTGCCAAGGTCCCTCACACCTGGATTAAGCAGAATGGCATGTTTCCGTGCTGTATCACTCCGGTGTAAAAAACTGAAGCTGGCCGAGGTAGATGGTCTGAAGCCCCTTGTGGCCACCAATGTACTATTATTAATAGCTGACATCTTGGCCATCTATTGCATGGAAACTCAAAAGGGAAAACAAAGAGAAGAAAGTTTGAAAATAAATATTAAATAATTTTAGTTAGTAGAAAAATATATATGTGATTTGTATACTCAATTGTTAGGAATTTTATATACAGTAAAACTCGCATAAGTTTGATCTGTATAAATCGTACATTCACCTAAGCCATACATCTGTCCAGTCCTGTTGAATTTCCTATTAAATCCACTTAAATGTATCTGCACTAGTCATATTAACAATTGTGCAACTAGTACCGCTGCTACCCCACCTGCCACTACCGATCCTGCCAGCTGCTGGGTCAAATCTTTGTTTTCCACACTTACCTCCAACGGAATACCGCACATTCGATCACCAACGCTCTCCGCACCCTACCTCCCGGGGCGTAACAGCAACATCGTGCACGGCAGCAGGGTGAATGGGGGGTTGAGAGAGGGAAGTTCATCACCTGATCACATGAAGGGGTAAGGAATGTCTAATCACGTGGAGAGTGAAGGAGACCTCTTAAGCTACAAGAGCAGTGCTGTGTTAACGGTTTGGGTGCATATGTGGAGTGTTGTGTTTGAGGTAGGTGCGCGAAACACAGTTTTGACCCGGCAGCCGGTAAGATTGTTAGTGGCAAGTGCTTTAGCGGTCTTGTGTTATTAGTTCCACGATTGTTTATATGAGTAGCGCAGATAAATTTAAGTGAATTTAATAGGAAATTTAGCAGATGTATGAATTAGGCGATTTTACGATTTATAGGGATCAGACTTATGCAAGTTCATTCATTTGCCTTTCACTATCCCGTGTGCATACCCTTTCAAGCTCTCTTTGTAATGACCCTCCTCCAATTTGATAGGTAGTCTCTGTAACTTCACTTGATCTGAGCTTAATTTAAATTCCTGTGAACTTAGTGATCATTCAGGGTCAGCCTACAAAATGTTCCAGGTTCTCTCGTGCCAAATCATTTTATGAACTACATAAATGAGTCCTCAATGTAGGGTTTTATTTCAACACACTCATGGCAAAGGGAGAAGAGTGGGTGACTCAGTGACTTATTTGGAGCATTGGATATGCACAGTTTTACATATTCCTAATAAGTCATCAGCTTAACTTGTTACTACCACTTAAGTCATCATGCTGTCAACATCCCAGCCACATTTATTTATGTATTTATACATATGCCCAACTCGCCATTCCGGATAACTTGTCACTGAGCCCTTTTTCCTTGGAGTGACAAGTTATCAGAAGTTAACTTGAAGCTATACGTTTTGTCAATTCTTCAACTGTGAGGTCCCTTGTTGCTGCTTCTTGCTTTTCACTGACTCTCACTTTTTGCTTTTCACTTTTCGCTTCTCTTTAACACCCCCATCTAATTTTTACACTTTCTGCTTTAGTAACGCTTTGTTTTACTGGCAATTTGGACCTCACAAAAGACTCTGAGCTTGTAAATGTAGTGCATTTCAGCGCCTTGGGACGTCCTCCTGACGTGAAAGGCGCTTTATAAATGGAATCTTGTTGTTGTTGTTGTTGCATGGCAGCTTCCTAACTCAGTCTGTCAGAGACCCCACAAGGGACACTTCCCTTCCTGACATAGTTTTGGTTTTAGTCAGTGAGTCTAGTCTTTCTCTCTCTCTTTTCTCGCCCCCTCCACCCCCCCCCCCCCCCCCCCAGGCATCCTTGGAGTGACAGGTTATCAGAAGTTTAGTGTATATATACACACACACACACGCGCAGGTATTAAGATAAACGTTGCTTATAGCTACTACACATAGTTCACAAAGGAGTGGAGGATTATGTGTAGGATGTTAAGATCTTATTCCAGTTATTTATAATTTACTCATTAGCAATTAATGAATTTTAATTTAATTAATGAATATTTGCGAAGTCAACTGGACATTATAGTTTGCAAAACAAAAAGTAGGAATCTAGTTTGCAGATAACTAGAAGTATTGGCATATATTGTGTTCTCACGGTTTTCTTTCCAGAAGAGGCCAGAAGAGTGGGTGGATGTTGAAATACCATAATTTTTTAAAGGTCACTTGTTTTTCTGAAACAGATATTTTAAAATACCATATTGCACAAATCAAAATAATATGGCTACATCGTACTCCCCTCCTACCCGCCCCTTCACTCAGTTTGTACTCTCTGGGTGCGAATCTATTCCATTTTATTCTAATGATTTCAGGATTTTTAAAAAAATGCAAGTAGTAATTTCTGTCATTAATAATAATAATAATCCTTGCATTTGATATAGCGCATTTCACGTCTTCTAGACATCTTAAAGCACTTCATAGAATATACTGTAACTTAGAGCATGTTTACCTTAGTAGTTCTATATATTGCAGGCATTACGAAGATTGGAAATAAGCAACTTCTGAGAGGTGTTGATTTTAAAAATGGGGTGGACTGCCAGAAACTAGAGGTAATAGGTGTTACATGTCAAGAGACATGCTCCTTCTTGCTGTTCATTTTCATTATTTATTCACAATTCTCTTGTTCACTCTGAAACACACCAAAACTACCTTTAATGCAAGTTCACTTCCCTCTTCATTGCTCTGCTCATGTGTCACCTCGAATTCAAGATCCTCATCCTCACCTACAAGGCCATTCACGGCCTTGCTCCCTCCTACCTCTCCGACCTACTATCCCCCTGCTTACCTGCTCGTACCCTCCGTTCCTCTGGCTCCGGTCTGCTCCACAACCCCCGCCCCAACTGCCTTACCATCGGTGGCCGGACCTTCAGCCTCTCAGCCCCTAGGCTCTGGAACTCTATCCCCAGTGCCTTCGCCTTGCCTCCTCCCTTTCCTCCTTCAAGGCCGGTCTCGAGACCTTTCTCTTTGACCGTGCCTTCAGCTCCCCTCACGACTCTCTACCCCCTCCTCGCTCCCTCCCTTCCTTCCCCTCACCCTGACCATTTCCCCCTGCTCGGGTCCTGACCCAACTGTACAGCGCCTTGAGACGTCCTCCCGACGTGAAAGGCGCTCTATAAATGGAATCTTGTTGTTGTTGTCATTGACCCTACCTATTGTCACACATTTGCCTATCAAGTGCATTAAACCCACCTATTATTATGGCAGCTTCCTAACTCAGTTTGTCAGAGAGCCCACAAGGGCTTCCTGACTTTGTTTTAGTCAGTGAGTCTAGTCTCTCTCTCTCTCTCTCTCTTCTCTCTCCCCCCCTCTCCCCTGCCCCTGTGCAATATTATTTAAAATATATGTATTTTATGTTCATGCTAACAATCTAAATATATTGATCTCACATGCAAAATTCTAGGTTTGCAGCTCTGGTAAAGAAAGAAAATGCAAGATGAGGGTAGGGAGTTACTATGATTTCAAGACACCACTGTCTCTGAAGTGTAAAAGGAAAATAACAAGTCAAAGAAAGAAGTATGTGAAACCCAGAAGTAACCAGAGTAAGGCAAAACATCAGACCTTGTTTCCCACTCACAAACGGCTAGCTCGCCATTTAAAAGCTCATACTCCCCATAACAGTAACCCTCAAAGTGCAGACAAAGTCAAAATTCAGACGAATGCAGCCTTTATCAGTATGGATGAAACAATCACTGGATCTAGCGACTGCATCAATTGTAACTCTCAGGCTGTGTTATTTTGTGCTGGTATATCTGATTCTCAGAAATTACTGAGAAAATCCACAAGGACCAGAAACTTATCTCACAAATGTAATTGTCAAGATCAGAATTGTTCAATTGTACCCATTCGACCCAGAACTAAAGTTCCCCAACAGAATAGATTAGAAGTTAGGTCCACTGCTGCTGTAAACAAGAACAGCAGCGTGATTGCTACTCCAAACTGTCAGCAAATGATTTTGAGATGCATGTCAAATCAGCTAACTAATTCAAACCCAGAAAATAAAACTGCTGAGAAAATTGCAAGAAACACATCTGATTGCAGTAAAATAGCCGCACTAAAAAGACCGAATGCAACTGACAACAGTGCACAATTGCTAAAAGAATACCAAAAATGCTCACAACATTCAGTAGCCAAAACTCGATCCGGTGAAACATCTATGAGCAAAAAGGAGGCCACTTGTTATCTCAGTGCAGCGAAGGTTGTGAAAACCTGTGGTCTAAGAGTCAGTAGAAACAATGTTAATGTGGAGCATTTCAGGAAGAAAACTCCCTTGGCAAAGGGAACTGAGATATTACCAGGTGTTAATCCCATCGACGCTAATAAATCTGTTGAGCACGTCATGAGCATTGAAAGTAATAGTGCTGTTGAAATCACAACAATGGAGATATTGCAGAGTGATAGAATTAAGCAGCATAAATCTACTGGGAATAAAATCTTAGAAGAGGGATCCAATTGTGATGAGGCAAATGCTGTTGTCTTACAAGACAGAGCTTGCTGTACCATGACTTCAGAATATGAGCTTGAACAAGGGACACAGCCATCTGTAACATCCAAGTGTGTTCTCTCACAGCAAGAAGCTAATTGTACTACAGCACTGCATACTGACAAGGGTGATATTGTGATCACACAAAGTGAAACCGGCAATGATATAGTACCTACTGAAGATACTGATGAGACAATGGTATTTGAACCAGTGATCTCAGGACACAATCTTAAAGAAACTGTGACTATGGAACATCAGTCAAATAGCAGCATGCCAACTTGTACTATGATCTCAAGTAATAAGCTGAATGCCACTCCTATAAATTTACATTCAGAATCTAAAATCACTGTGGATAATTCCAGTGATACCATAGGTGAACTGAATGTCAATAATTCACATGTTCTAAGTCATTCATCTGTGTCAACTGATCAAGAAGCAGCTGAAGCGACAAATTCAAGCAAAGCCAAAGAAGGCCATGGAAGTAGCAAAAACAGCAGGAGCAGTAACTTTGTACATAGCAAATGGAGAGAATTTAATCATGACACCAGCGAAAAGGATGGGCCTTCACATGTAGCCGAAAGAAATCAATCAAAAGAAAAAACTTTAAATAGCACATTGCACGAGAGTGAGAAAATATACAAGGTGCAGCCTGCAGAAGTGACTGGAAATATGGAAATGGCAAGTAAGCCATCCACAAGTCAAGTAACAAGTGAAACATCAGGTATTTACTAAAGATTATACAACTTGTATTGTTTTGTGCAATGGGGTAAAAAAATACAGACATTCCTAAGGATTCTTTCTCCTAATTTTCCCATTATTTATTTTTAGCACACAGACTAAATGTCAAAATTATAAGTAAGCTTTACATTTTCTTTTTGGACATAAATAGGCTCTTTAACTTCCTGTAAGAAGACTACCTCCTCTGTTGATATTTCCACAATACGTTCTATAAACAAGAAAGATGGCAAAGGACAGAGTCGTTTACATCTTGCTGTGATGAAAAGGGACTTGCTTTTAGTAAGATCTCTAATAGCAGCTGGAATTGAAGTAAACATGAAAGATTACGCAGGTGTGTGGCTTTCAAATGTAATCTGACTTTAACTTTGCTACGTGGTGCGGCTATTCTACGTAGTATTCGAAAGGAAACTTTTACTCAGATATTGGTGTCCGTCGTGCAGCTTAAATATAGGAACAGGTTAGGGATTGCTAATTACATTTGAGTATCATTTCTGTCTTGCATCACAAATGCACTTGCTAAACATTATATAGAGATATTCGCTTCAATAGGTATAAATTTTGTAATCAACAAATAAATCCAAATGTTGTGGCTACATGTGCTCAGAGCATGCTGTTTAATGTGGAAGCAAACATAATATTTTCTTTTACATTACACTTATTTTATAGCTAGGTTGTGATCATTTTCTGTGTAGAAGGAAGACACCATAAGGTTTTACTTCTCTGTTCAATCGTGTACCTTCTTATTGGGTGCAACAGCCAACGATTGTTAGTGGCAGAAAGAGAAAGTCAAAGCATAAGAATGTAAACGACTAACGTTAACATGAGCAGCGTTTCATCTGTAAGATCATGCTTTGTGATTTTGCCTAAGGCTGGACAGCCCTTCACGAAGCTTGTGACAGAGGCTTTATTGAAGGCATACAAGAATTACTAAAAGCAGGTGCTGATGTCAACAGTATAGGAATGGATGGTGTATCACCATTGCATGATGCTGTGAGAAGTTCCCATTATGAGGTACTGTATCTTTATTTAACTTTGACTGCCGCTTTTCACAAATATATGACTATGGACTTGAGCCAAACAGACCCCGATACACATGGATGCAGATTTGGTTCATGAGTAATAATAATCCTTGCATTTGATATTGGGCCTTTCATGTTGACAGGACTTCTCAAAGGATTTCCCAGGATTTTAACTGAAAGCTGTAGATACTGGATATATTATAGGCGAACGTGGCAGCCAACTTAGGCCCAGTAATATGCCACAAAGAAGCCTTGAAGTGAATGTCCAATCTGGTGTATGGTTGGTCAGGACACTAGGAGAAACTGCTTTCGCTTTACGATAACAGCAGAAAGTAACCATCACTGGCATATAAATCAAATTTTCCAGATGCTCTAATGCATTCTAAAGGAGTTAAATTATCTTTCATGTGTAAACAGAATATAAATGTATGCATCAGGTGGGAATTCCAGGTACTCTTAATGATGTAATTGACAATCGATGAAAGGGATTTATTAATTTTGTAAATAAATTAACAATGGTTCCTATTCAATGCTTTTTTATTACATAATTGTTTTTATAATTCAGGACTCCATCATTTCCTCTTTGTACATGCGTTTAGAAATGGTTTTCACATGGTGCATAGAATTTACATTATAGACCTCAGTGTCTAAAACTAATAAATAATGCAGTAAATGCATTTACTACATTAAATAGAGAATGTACACTTTTGGTTTGGTCAGCCAGATGCCTAACACATGCAGAAACCCATCACCATGCTTAAGAGTATCCAAAGCAAACTGCCAGTTCCATGCATCCCACCTACACATGGAAATGTCTGAGGTGTTTATTAGAATGAAATGCGCACTCTCTCCCTGAGTGCACGCATCCTGCTTACCTAATTCCTACTGGAGTCTAACCAGCTAAAACCACATAGGTTTGCCGTTGTACGCGCACTGTCCAGCAAGCTTTCGTGCTGCTTGACCAACTAGGACTACCCTACCCATTAGGGCTCTGTCTTCAAGGGTTAACCAGGCTGAGGACTGGACTACTGAGACCGCCATAGAGGGTTGGCTCGATTCTGAAATTCCATTGTCAAACATGTTACCTTGGCGCCCGTTCAGCTCCAAGGAGACTGGTTACCTCCTCCACCTCAAGGAAGGTAAACACTAGAGAATGCACACCAGTCATAATTTACAAAAGAAAACTATCATTTATCCACAGCCCACTGCGAGGAGATGCTGGACTTCCTCAAAACCAACATTGAAGGGATCCTTTCAGCCACCTCTGCCCTTCCAGCTAATACTCCCTCCCCATCTCCCCCTCACACTCCGACCCCTACCCATCCCTCCCTCCACCCCCTTGAACCTGTATCTCCTTGCTCTCTCACCAACATTATAACCCACATGAAACTGACCACCTGACCCCCATCCCTACCCTTCTTACCTCCCAGCTCAACCTTCTTGCTCCCCTAGTCACAGACATCATAAACCTCTCCCTGTCCACTGGCATCATTCCCACCCCCTTTAAAAACAGCCGTCAGCACTCTTATCCTTAAAACAGCTTTGGTCAAAGTAACAAATGACATTTGTTCATCTGAGACCTCAGCCTCCTCATTTTCCTCAACCTCTTTGCTGCCTTTGATACTGTAAACCACTCTATCCTCCTCCACCGCCTCTCCTCCCACCTCAACCTTAATGGTTCTGTCCTTGAATGGTTCAGATCCTACCTCTCACACCGTCTCCACTTCATATCCACAAACAGCTTCTCTTCTAGTCCCCACACAATCTTGTGCGGCATTCCTCAGGCTCTGTTGTCCCCTTGTTTTCAATATCTATATGCTCTCTCTTGGTGACATCATCGGCAGTCTTGGGATCAACTTCCTTATGTGTGCAGATGACACCCAACTGTATCTCTCTGCCCCCACCCTCGACTCCAGGACCACTACTGTCCTGATAGAATATCTGTCAGACATCAAGTCCTGGATGAGAGCTAACGTTCTACAGTTGAACGTCAACAAAACTGAGGCTTTTCTGATTGGCTCCCGTCAGCGCCTCCACCCCTCAGACACTGACAGCATCACCATCCACGGTTGCACACTCCACCTCACCGAGCCAGTCCGGAACCTTGGCATCTTGTTTGACGCTCAACTGTACATTCTCCCCCACATCCGAGCCATGACCCACTCTGCCTTTCCCCTTACCTCCACAACATCGCCTGGCTCCACCACTGCCTCACCCCTCAGGCCATCGAAACCCACATACACTCTTTCATCACATCTAGGCTTGACTATGCCAACTCCCTGCTTGTTGGTCTTCCCAATTCTTCCCTCCACAAGCTGTAGATCATCCAGAAGTTTGCAGCTTGTGTTATCTCCCGCACCAGGCTCCATGACCCCATCACCCCCATCCTCGCCCAGGTCCACTTGCTCCCCATCCCCCAGCGGATAGAGTTCAAAATCTTCATCCTCGCCTTCAAGGCCCTCCACGGCCTTCCTCCTTCCTACCTCTGTGACCTGCTGACGCCATATCAACTTGTCCACTCCCTCCACTCAGCAGGCTGTGGCCTGCTCCTCGTCCCTCGCCCGACCTACCCCACCAAGGCCGATCGGGCCTTCAGCCTTTCTGCCCCCACCATTTGCAACTCCATCCTACATTCTTTTCACGTCGCTTCCTCCCTTGCCTCCTTCAAGGCACGTCTCAAAACCCTCCTCTTCGACTGTGCCTTCAGCCACCCTCCCTGATCCTGACCCCCAGCTTGGGTCCAAATTCCTGACTGTGTTGTGACGTCTTACCAATCCCTGATCCTGAACCCCAGCTTGGGTCCAAATTCCTGACTGTCTTGTGACGTCTTACCAATGTGAAAGGAGCTATAAAATGTAATTTTGTATTGTTTTTGTATTGTACTACAGTTGGTGAGCCGTACAGGCCAATACTCTTATTTGTCCTCTGCACACCACCAGTAAAGGCTGCAGAAATCGGCTGTCGCATAGGGCGTAACATTACACCATACAGGAATGGTGAACTGACAGCTGCCCAGAGCAAAAGAGAGGTGCAGGACCATAATGTTCTGGTGCCAGCAGATGGAATCTAGCTACATAAATTTGCATGAAATTTTTTACTCACAACACCATTTCCAACATTTTACACTGTGGCAAAATGACCCCACGTTAGCTGCAAAACTCTGCTGATCTTTCTTTAGGCTGTGAAACTCTTGCTAGAGCATGGAGCTAATCCCAACCAGAAAAAAAGCGATGGACTGACTGCTTTTGATGAAGCGGAAAATCATCAGATCAGAGCACTACTCAAAACCTTCCGTAGCAGTGAAGCGACTGTGTGTAAACAATCACAGCTAGGTAAAGGTAAGTCCCTCTAGATCTTCTTCCCATATCCTTCATTTCCCCTCTCTCATCTAGTTGATTCTCGAATCTGTGCCAGCATTGTCCAATAGACACTAATTAGATGAAAGACCAATTGATATTTTTTGTTTGGGAATTTGGTTATATATTGGTCATAATAGCAAAAGTACTACTTTCTTCTTCAGAATAGTGCCTTGGGATCTTTAACACTTACGTGAACTACCAAACAAAACCTCAATTGAATGCTCTTCCAAAGGATAGCACCTTTAACAATGCAATGCTTCTTCACACCCCACTGGAATATCTATCTGGCTCAAATCCTGGTGAAGTTTAAATACACTACCTTAGGACCCAAGAGAGAAAGTGCTACCAACTGAGGTTAAACTGTTTCTCAGGCACATTCGTGGAGTGCTGTCTACTGGTCTTCTATATGCAGACTAATTTTTAAAGATTGAATGAGCCCATGATGAATGCCTTACCACAAATGGCTGTTGAACATTGAAAGGGGAAAAGCAACAGCAGGAGGCCATTCAAACCCACTGAGCCTGTTCTATCAGTTTATTAGATCTTGCAGATCTTTTAATTCTGATACGCTACTCTTTCGCCATGCCCCTTAATACCTTTACCACATGAGAAGTCTATTTTTTAAATATCTCAATTGATTCCGCCTCTACTGCTTTCTGAGGCCGAATATTCCACATCTTCACAACCGATAATGTGAAGAAATGCTTCCTGATCTCCATTTCAATTGTCTTAATTCTGATTCTGATAAAGTTGATGCCTTTTTGTAATAGAATTTCAAGCCTTATGTATTACATAAAATGCAAACTTTTTTTATAAATCAATGCAATCCTCTGACCACACCTAACAGACTGAGTACTATAATCAATGTTCTGTCACAGTTTCGCTTATTAACTTCAAAGCAATAATTATCAGCAAGAAACAAGACATTCAGATCTATACTTATATTCTGCACAAACACATGCCTGGTCTATAACAAACTATTAGCTTAAAAAAGATGAATAGCAGAATTAAGATTCTACTCTCTGTATAAAATAAAATTCTCCTAATGTTTCTCTGCTCTTTTGGTAATTATATTAAATCTTTGCCTGTATAGCAATCAATTCATTGACTGGAGAAAATATAGTTTTTCATTAAAATGTAATCTACTAAAGCCTCAACTAAAGCAGCATTCAAATTAACAAGTCAGGCCAAATTCCTAAACAAACAAAATGTTATCTGAGATATTTCCTTTTTTTTCAACTTCTGGCAATTGGGTGGGTTGGCGAGGGTGGCACAAAGGGCGGGAAAGGTCACAACACAGGAGTCTGCAGGAACTGAGCATCAATAACAACAAATTACATTTATATAGCATCTTTCACGTCAGAAGGACATCCCAAGGCATCATGAAATCTGTCTCATTTTATAAACTCTACAGCTCCACCTCAAGTTCAGAAGTCACACATCGTAAATGTTACCTGCATTGCTGTATTTCCCCTCCCCCCAACCCACCACCAAATGGATCTGTTGTAGCTGAACAACAGATCTGTTCCATACTGAATAGGAATTTCCATTTGCACGGAACTCTCAGCAGTTTAGCTTGGAGATCACTGTGATAACGGACATGTATTAACACTCAGCCAACAAAACAAATTAAACACTGATATTTGAATTTCACAAGATCACAAGATTATTCAGAAAATGAATCTTATATTATTAATAATTGTAAAATTTACTTTCTAAATAACCTGCTTTTCAGGATCCCAGTAAAGACTTGTAATGTGCATTTTACAGGACCTTTGAGGGATAACTCTGCCTTTTGTATAGGTGATCAAGCTCCACCAACCCTTCAAAATGATAACGGCTCAGAAAGTTCACATCACGTAAGTGAAAGGGACTAATAACACCAGCCAGTCTGTTTCTGTGTGTCAGTTTGACACAGTGATAGTACTCTCACCTCTAAGTCAGAAGGTTGTGGGTTCAAACCCCACAGCGGCACATGGAATCACATCGTGGAAGCTGACATTCCAATGCAGTAGTTGGGGGGTTGTTGCATTGTCGATGTGCCGTCCTTCGGATGAGACATTAAACCGAGGTCCCATTTGCCTGTTCAGGTGGATGTTAAAGATCCCATGGCACTATTGGAAAAGAGAAGAGATTTTCCCAGTGGCCTGTCCAACAAATTCCCCCAAATGAAATTGGTCACTCACTCCATGGATGTTTGAGGGGCATTGCTTTGTGCAAACTGGCTGCTGCGTTTCGTCCCAAAATACAGACAATCCACTTTACAATATGTCCTGTGAAGCAATTTGAGACAGCTCAACAATATTATTATTATTATTAACTTTGTTTTGTATATCATTTTAGTCACAGAAAGGGCACTTAAAATCAGAAAATATGAATGTTGGTCATCTATAAAGCAAAATATAAATTACATATTTTGTCATTTCAGTATTTGTTGCAACACAAGTCCATTATGACAATACTGGATGAAGTTGAAAAGAAACAGGAAGGAATAATGAAAGAACTGAAAGAAACGGAATCAATTGGTCAGTAAATAATGTGGGACTGGCGGGCAGGTAGTTACAGGAACTTGTGTGCATTTGATAATATTAAAACATTTCTGTCTCGTCAGTTTTCTCTGCCCTTGAATTCAGTCACCATCACGATTTAGGGCATTGCTAATTTTTCTAGGGATGGAACCTGGTATTTCTACACAGATTATAATGGGCTTTGGAACTAAAGGCTGTTTTGTTAGCTTGTGTTTTCAGAGTTGGATTGGTTTCCTTTAGTCTGAAGTGATTGAAAGGTTCTAAATTACAGTAACTAGTGAACCCCAGATATCTCGCAGCTGACCCTCGAGAACTCCAATCAAATATTGACTTCATGAAAGTCAATAGCAACAACTTGCAATTATATTCATGCAGGGTAGTGTCTCGGAGCACTTAGTCAGACTTGAGAATAGCATCAGAACAGTTCCAGAAGGTTAGCTATGGCAACTCATTAATTATGAATCCTTTTGCGAGTCGTAGACTGAAATGGCCTCTGTGTTTGCACATCGATAGGGACAACATTCTGTGATCCAGAGAGTGAGAAAGAGCTGTTTGTATTGAAGTGTGAGGGAAAACTGCCAAGGCACAAAACTGACTGACTCACACTACTCTCAAAAATTACAGTGTATTGTCTATTTGCATTGCTACTGGTGCAGGCAAAGACATTCCTCAAATGCCATTGGTAGCACATGTCCTCTTATCAGAAGGGCCAAAAGTCAATTAATCTTGCTGCCATTTCTCTGCATGAGGGGGTGCAAATATATTCTGCACTATAAATTAGTTGTTCTGTAGGGCGGTGTTAACTTTGCTTTGTATATGGTTTTTGTCACAGAAAGTGCACTTAAAAATCAGAAAATATAATTTTTTTCCAGCCATAAAATAGACCTGGCAACGATGAAACATCATAAAAGTCTAGGGAGCTGCTGTTTATATCCTCAAAGTGAGCTGGTATGATAACATACAAGTAAATGAAGTCATGACTGAGTTATGGTCTGCATCTTAGGTGGACTGTATCATTTTCTTCTTTGTCACCAACTACCAGATACAGCAAAGTATGATATAGCCTCAAGTTACTTATGTAGCAGCAATATACACAGAATTAGACTTAAAGATCATTGCTATAGTCTTGTACCATGTACAACTCACAAATCAGCACAATTTTTATTTTGATATTACAAATAAAATAAAGTGCTAGTATTACAGTCAATTTTGCATTCCTAGCACAGTGCCATGGGAATTGGAATCTGTTAATAATAAATGTCAGTAAAGTGAAAATGCACAGTGCTGCAGATTTTATCAGAAAGGGTTTTGATAATCCATATTGTTTGTTTGAACAGCTGGAGTTAAACTGAAGTTGGCACAAATGCAGCATGTATTAAATGAAGTGCTTGCCAAGCACAAAGCTGAAAAGGAAAGTCTTGTTAAAAGATTCAGGTAAGATACAATGGTAGAACCTCGGAGAGCAATGCACCAGAGTGAACAATTGCTGAGAGAGTAAAATCCCAGACACAGCAGAACCCTGTTATAACTCACTTTGTTGTAACACGTGTGTACTTACCCAAAAATTCCAAGATGCACACAGTGGCTCCATCGACATTTCAAAATACTATCTAGTGCACAATAACACAAAATGACTTGGAACTTTAGCTTCCCGCATGCGGGCCTGAAGCACTGATGGAGCAAGCCAGATAACTTTCTGTACGCATGCTCAGTGAAAGTGGAAGCATGCTTCAGTGATCACACACTGTTGTAGCCCTGGTTTGTATTTTATGGCCCTAACTATAATAATATAATAAAAATCTCTATTTGATATGTCATCGGGACGTCTCAAATTGCTTCGCAGAATGTACTGTAAAGTGTAGTGACTGTATTTTGTAGGTTGTCTGCCACATTATAATAAGGTGTTACTGTTACTCTTCAATACTACCGTTAAATTGCAATGTGTTGGCTTTCGTGTACAAAAAAAGGATTCCTCTTATATAATGCTTAGAAGGAAAATTTGAAATAAACATTCAGAATGAATTGCTTTATTAATAATTTATTGCAGTATTGGGGTCAATTTAGCAATAAAATAAATGAATAAGTAAGCCTTGCCTTTGATACAGCACCTTATATCAAAACTTTCCTAAGCGGTTCACAGGATTTACTGTAAAGTGTATTAACAGGTATTTGTAGACAAATGGAACTTTACTGAACCTGTGCACAAACTTGGCATCAAGATCGATCCCAGCTATCCTTCCTGCCCCACATCCAATCCCTAATCAGGACTGCTTTCCTCCATCTCTGTTGCTTCGCCCACCTCCAACCATACTTCACGCCCAATGCAGCTGAAATCCTTATTCATGCATTCGTCACCTCCAACCGCAATTTTTCAAATTCCCTCCTTGCCGGTCTCCTTGGCTTCACCACCCATTAAATCCAACTGATTTAAAATTCTGCTGCCCATATTCTCACCTATACCAAACTCAGCATTTCTTCACCCCAGTATTGCCAGGCTCCACTGGCTCCCTATTGCAGATTAGATCGACTTTAAGATCCTTACACTTCCTTACAAATCGATTCACGCCCTAATACCTCCTTTTCTGACCTGCTTACAATCCATTCCACTACTCATCCGCCCTCTACATATCCCTCCATTCTAATTAGCAGTGGCCGTACTTTTTCCAAAAACTCTGCCTCAATCCTCACTTTGTCCATCTTGAAATCATACCTGAGGATCTTTACGATGCCTATGGTCACCTCTCCTTTCTCCTCAACTCAGCGGCAAGCTCCATCAATGTTAAGCTCTTCGAGATGCTACCCCACATAAAGGATGCTATATAAATGCGAGTTTTTTTACAGTATATCTCTTGAAGCACTTTGAGATGTCCTTCTGACATGAAAGGCGCTATAGCAAATGTCAGGATTATTATTATTAATATTATAAGAGATTGAATTGAACTCAGGTCTCTCACTTGCAAAGCGAGTGCTCTAACCATTGAGCTACAGGACTCCACAATAAATAACCAGCATCAGGTTTACACCATTTTTTTACAGGGTCACTCCGGGTTCATTCAGACAGGATATATTACAGAGGCAATTAACTACACTGGCTTGCAGACAGAAGAGATTTCTAAGTATGTTACACAAAAAAAAAGCACTGGATCGGAAATTGAAAGAATGCAACTTAAAACTGCAGAATACTCAGCACAACGCTTCAATAAACCAAGCAGTTGCAAGTTTGATTCACATAACTAAGAGCATTACTACAGGTAACCCCAATTCAAGTAAAATACAGCATCCAAATCAGAATGAAGCGTCAACTGCCAATCCTGATAGTGGACAATCAGGGGAAATATGCATCACCTCTCCAAATCAGGAACCAGGAGCCAGACAAAAAATACGTTGTTTGAACCAGACAGAAGCAGATACAACTGACAATCCGGTTGCCAATACAATCGTCACTTCCCGAGAAGGAACCGTTGGATGCAGTAATAAAATAAATGTTCCATTTTGCATACTTGACTGCACCCATAGCCAGAGCAATATGCAAACAACAAATACATCTCAGTCAGCCTCAGGCAAAGGTAAAGAGAGTGCTCCTTTACAACCGATTGCTTCACAATTGTCTCATGCACAAATGGAAACCTCAAGCATAAGCCAAAGTGATTGTAGTGATTTAACATCATGCAGTAGCTCTGGACAGAATGTCCTGTTGAAAAGCATGCAATGTACAAATACAAAAGATAATTTCAAGCCCAACTCCACGAATGCAAGTGCGCAGTCAAGAACTGAAGAATTCAGTGCTAACAGCAGTAAAGCCATTGAAATATTTTCAGTACCATTCAACAATATTCCATTAAAAACATCATTGCCGGTATGTCGAATTGCCCGACCTCAAATGTCACAACCTAAGCCCGGCCTTGTACACAGTAACAAACCAAACACACCATCAGAGTATCAACAACAGACATCCCAGTTTAACAGTACAAAACCAAGCAGTGCTCCCCGATGCATTGGAATGTTTCAAGCAAACAGCAACAGCCAGTGCTCAATGCAGATAAACAACAACCAACTTACTAGCAGCCAGACAAATGTTAGCCTGGCAAGAACTGCCTCTAATTGTCGTAGAAAACCAGCCTCAGAATGTTTACCTCACAACAATGGCGATAGACAGAGAAAAATTATACACTTAATAGATCTAATCAAGTGCGGAGTAATACAGCCAGGAGAAAATGCCCTGGAACTCAAACTACAGGTAGATCATTAATTGGGGCAATTCTGTTGTAGAGAATGTTTTTGATGCAATGTAAATCTCATAAATAATAATATGATCCTTATATTTGGTATAGTGCCTTATCATGTTCTTCAGACGTCTCAAAGCACTTCACAGGATTTTTATCATGTACGTTACCACAGTAGCAACACTAGGACTTTCTCATCCATAAAATGTACTCGGAATTTTTAAAGAGTTTTTTTATTCTCTTTAATAGAAAAAAACAGTCACCAATTGTAATCGCTATTTTGGGTCTCATACTGTTAAGAGAGATGCTGAGGTCATCAGTAAGTGGCTCTGTTTGTATGACAGTGGATCAGCATTCGGGATGCCAGCGCCTCTAACTACAACAAAATTAGAAATGTTGAGTTAACATTGGGATATATGAAAAAGGGGTTATCAAAGCATAGAAATTCTGATAATTATCACATTCTTGTGTATATATTTTTGCAGCAGCGAGGCTCAAAATGCACATCTCCAAAACACCAGCAATTTATGTCATCTGGAAATTCTCCTAAAGAGGTGGAAAAATATTATTAACTATTATACTAAATACTATTAAACATTTCACAAGCTCTCCAGGGAAAGTACTTTATGCTGAAAGTGCTACCTCCATATACAGGCTTGTATATTAAGAGTGAGAAATTTATCAGGTTGCTAAATGTAACAATATTGTCAGTGTGAGCTAAGATATCAGTACACTTAACAATGTGGTGAATTTCCCACTCTTAAAATGTATAGTGTGTATTTTTTAACAGGATCAGGTTGTCAGTACTTTCGAGACATCAAAACTATCCGCAGGATATTGTTTTTAATATGTTTTTATCATAATTCTTACCCATCTTGCTTGACAACTTGTGGAACATTAATAAAAGAACATCAAATTTCAACATTGTGCAATTTTACAATGTTTAATTTTATGTTTCATGTTTTTAATTTTTTAGGTTTTTTAATTTTTTAATTTTAATTTTTATGTTTCATTGAAACGTGGAAAAAGTTGATCATTCTAAAATATGTGGTGACGAGTTCTGGCAGAGAAGAGCTGAGTGTAACATGACTGAGTGCAGGAGGAGCACTGCTCAGCTCGGAGCAGTTAAGTAAATTGCTTTGAGAGAGCAGAGTGGAATACTTCCCGCAGATGAAATGCATTAAGATCTAAAAAATGTATAAGCTACAGTAATTTGTGTTTGTGGCTGAATAAGCAATATCTAAACGCAGACAAAAACATGCACCCAATTTTCCTATTCCTATTTTAAGTGAAAACCACTGAAGCAATACATTGTAACCCATTTGATGATCACCGTAACTGTTTTACTGCTACATATTTGCTGATTTGTGGATTTCAACGACAACTTGCATAGCACCCTTCACATGGGGCAGAGTCTTGGAGTGCTTTTAGAAGCAGGGCATTCACTAGTTCAAATTTCTGAGAACTAAGTTTTCCTGTTCTGACTTCAGTCCACACAATATAGCCTTATTTATACATTTAGTGCACTTTATGTTTTGATGGGGGTCGTTGGGGGTTATCTCGGAAATAACAGAATAAAGCTTTCCAATTTTGGACACCAAGGATCAGCTTCAAGTACTACAAGATCAGATATAGCATGCACAGATCCAGAGGATACCTATATTAAAAAAATTAAGCTTTCATTGTATTTCTAACATGCTTAACTCCCCGCCTCCACCCACCCTATTGAGTTTTATTAAAATACACTTAGCAATGTGGAGAATTTCTCACCTTTAAAGTGTCTTGTATATATTTTTTAACTGGGTTTTCATGCATTTTTATAGTTTATATTCAGTCAGGAGGTCAATACTTTAGAGGCATCAAAACTATCTGCAGGCTTCTACAGACTTCATCAATCTATGCCAGTGACATTTTTAACATTATCATATTTCCTACCTCTCTTGCCTTGTTTCACCCACAAAATACACAGTCAATTCACTTTACAGTATATTCTGTGATGCACTTTGAGACATTTTGAAGACGTAATAAGGAGCTATGTCAAATGCAAGGATTATTATTTATTATAACATCTGATAAAATAACATCAAACATCAACATTGTGAAATAAAACATTTGACAATGTTTTGTCTCTACAATCTGTCTCAGTCCACACACCAGAAGTCAAAAGTTACAGCTCTAATTTTACAATGAAAATTGAATGAATCACATATCCTTATTTTGTCAATGTGGGTGTTATTCCCCCTCCTTGTTCATGTGGGCTATTGGTTATTCTCCTCTGTTTGCTAAGTTTTGGTTCTTGTCAAAAGAGGGTATTGCTCGTGTCAACCTGTGCCTAATGCTTTTCAGAACCAGGGAAGCAGGCTGTGTCCCTTCAGGGAGAAAATGCACGTTCCATTCCAAACACAATGACATTTCATGTGTAGGTGGCATACATATGTGGAATTCTTAGTCTGGTTTGGATTCGCTCAAGCATGGTGATGGGTTTATGATTGTGTCAGACCTTCAAGACACCCACATTAACCAAAGAAAACCTGCTAAGTTTTTTTTAATTTTTCCTGGTAGATGATGAACAAGTAATGCAGTTTTACTGTGTTTTTCATGATCCAGGTGAATAATTGGTGGAGGGACATATTCTAAACTATTTGCTGTTTTACATAACGTCCCTTTTGATTTAAGATTAAATAATTTTAGGGTGGATGGTTTGTAATAACCCATGTTGGTTTCTTATCCTTAGGGATCTTGTCATAAAGCTGAGCTCCTGAGCAGTGGTTTGATTAGAAGTAGTAATGGAATTAGCCATCGTAGTCCAGTGCGTTGGATGAAAGCACTTCTGGGTGACGACATTCCAGTCAACTGGAGGGTTGCATGGAACAAGGTACAGCTACTGATTTTAAAGCTCGGGGTGGAAGGCTGTTGTAATCATTTGCTGAAACACTTTGAAGGGACACTACCTTAGATGCATATTCCCACAAACATTCTCCTTGGAAAATTCCTGATTTAACAATGTACTTCCCAAGTTTTGCTTGTATCTGCATTCTGTTCACCATTCTTTATGTTAGTGGTAATCCCATGTCCTCTACACGCCAATAAATCCTTCATTAAGAAAAATCACAGCACACAGGAAGCAACATCAGAAAGGCTTCCTGTGCGTAGCGAGCAATGCGAAGGGACATCAGCAGTAACCTGATGGCTTGGAACTTAACACTGTTTGCCATGAGAAGCTGTCTAGTTAGCACCGAAAGCCAATCGTAGACTTTATAAGTGAATCTGTGCTCATCTACAATCTAACAGGGTCAGCCTGTAATTGGTAAAAGAAAAAAAAGGCCCGCTTTTATGTAACTGCTTCGGCTAGATATCTACAAATGAAAGCAATTGTCTTTTATATCATTCTTCTGAAGCATTTACTGAATTGCTTGAATGACCATAGGAATTTTTTGTTTCGAAGAGCAAACTTCCGGTTCCTTAGATCCATTTCTCTTCACGCATTTACTGACAGACATTTGCCAGGATTATATTCAACCACTAGAATTTTTGTATGAAAAATCAAACAATCACTGAGGAACTGTTAATAACAAAAGCAAATTCAAGTTATTGATGCTCATTTTTCTACCTTTAAAAGTCATTGAGAAGGTGCTCTTGGAAAATGTTTAGAAAATGGGCCACAGGAGAAGAATGCAGATTTGATGCAGACTTTAACGAGGAAGAAATTCGCAGCGTCTAAGAAATTAAGTCATAACAGTTGATGATGAGGCTGCACGAAAATGCATAGTTAACTTTAAGCCTAGCCAGCATTAAAACAACTACTACGATCATAAAAAGGTGTTCTGGTTAACATCATTCAGTTGTAAGATCAACTTCTTAACCCTGTGTAATGTATGAGCTACTATAGGTTTACACATATACAAAGACATCTAGCAACAACCAGTATTTTTTTGAACTGAGATATTCAGAGACCGAAATGCTATTGTCTAAGAAGTGCAGAAAAACAGATTCCAAATTAAAACTAACAATTTAACAATTTTCTAAATTTTTGTACAATTTTGAGACAGTGATCTTACAACTAAAGCCAAGAGTTTTCATTTGTCCCTAGTCTCCCCATGCCAAAATATGCAATAGGCACATCTTCAGCGATTAGGATCCTGTCTTTGACAGTAAACCAGCTATTAGCAGGTGCATAAGAGCAATCTTGAGACAATGCTTGTGTTTTTTCCCCCTATCCTTTCAGAAAAGGCTGGGCCTTGTAAAGTACAGTAAGGTAATTGAAATGAAGACACATAAGCTACATCCCTCTACACTGTTGTAATCACAGTTCAGCAGATGCAAACCAACAGACTTGCTTCAAAAAGACGAAACACGATAGGTTGATGGAGTTATCTTGACTGCAGACAGGGCCTGTCATGGTCTGAGAATAATAATAATGCTAGCATTTGATATAGTGCCTTATCAAGTTTTCGAGACGTCTCTAAACACTTCACAGAATACACTGTAAAGTGAATTGACTGTATATTTTGTGGACGAAACACGGCAGCCAATTGCACACAGCAGTGTCTCACAAACAGTCGTGGATTGAAGTGACCAATTGTTTTATTTTAGAATATTAGAAATTTGAGAGATTCCACACTTTATTTATGCTCTGTCAAGTGTCAAGCATTTAAAACCTGAATGGCATAGAGGAAAGTGTAAGAGATTCATCTGATCAGCATAAAATGTGAAAAAAAGCATTAACATTGCTCAGCTTCTGGAACCTGTGAGGGAAATTTGATGGGAAGGTGACCGTAGGCATAGTCGAAGAGGAAGGTCTTCAGGCACGCCTTGAAGACGGGGAAGGAAGGGGCAAAATGGAGGGATAGAGGAAGAGTGTTCCAGAGTTTCAGGGAGTAGTGGCTGAAAGCGCAGCCACCGATGATGGAACGGAAGGCATGAGGGACATGAAGAAAGCCAGAACCAGTCGAGCGGAGGCAGTAGGTTGAGAGTAAGCAGATCGAAGACGTAGGGAGATGCCAGAGCATGAAGGTATTTCAAAACAAGTGTGAGGATCTTGAAATCGATCCGTTTGACGATAGGGAAGCAGTGGAGCCTGGCTAGAACTGGTGTGATTGGGGTATGAAGTTTAGTACGGGTGAGTGTGCAGGTGCTAGAGTTTTGGATGAGCTGGATCTTGTGCATGGTAGAGCTGGGGAGACCGGCAAAGAAGGCATTGGAAAAGTCGAGTTGGGAGGTGACAAACGCATGGATGAGTGTTTTGGTCAGAGGCAGACAATATGCCAGAGGTAGTCTTGGTGAGGGACCAGATGTGGGGAAGGAAGGACAGCTGTGGGTCGAACCTGATGCTTAGGTATCGGTGAGTATGAGGGATAGCCCAGTGAGATTTGTCATCTGCATATATGCAGAATCCTGGGATGATATCACCAAGAGGGAGCATATAGATAAGGAAGAGGAGAGGCTCAAGGATGGAGCCCTGGGGTACACCATAGGTGACCAGGTAGGGTTAGAAGAAGAAACAGTTTGAAGAGACAAAGTGAAGGCGGTTTGTTAGGTAGGACTCAAACCAGGCAAGTGCAGTCCCATGGAGGTGGATGATGGAGGAGTGGCAGTGGAGGAGGATAGCATGATCGACTGTATCGAACATGGCGGAGAGGAGGACAAGGAGGCAGAGGGAGCCCTGGTCACAGAGAGAGAGGACGTCGTTTGTAACCTTGACAAGCGCCGTCTTAGGAGGTGATTGTTATTGCCGGGAGAGTGGGTAGATTTTGGAGACAGACCTGGATTTCAGGGGAGCAAGGAAGTTGAGGGTTGCAGAGAAGCAATCGTTTAGCAGCTTGATTGCTGCATCAGTATGATGTAAGGACTCGTTTGTGAAGGATTCGGGTGGAAGCTTTTTCCAAGGTCGGAAAAAGATGGTGGAGGGTTTTGAAGAGGAGAGGGGTATGCAAGAGGAGAGGGAGATGAGGAAACGGTCTAAAATGGTCTTGTTTATGGTGGACAGATCGGATATGTTAAGGCCGTGAGTGATAACGAGATTGAGAGGCTTTGGTTATGGTTCGGGGAGTTTATGTGGAGGGTGAGGACAGTGAAATCAAAGGAGATGGGACAAGAGGAGTTTAGGTGAAGATTGAAATCACCTATTATGATCAGGTGTTCAGTGCAGAGGTAGATGGATGAGAGGAGGGAGGAGATGTCAGGGATGAAGGAACCAGGTGGTTTTGGAGGATGATAAATAAGGAGGATTTTGAAGGAGAGGGAAGGACAGTACCGGGTTAAATTTTCAAAAGAGGGAAGGAGCTGGAGGAATAGAGTGAGAGAAGTTTGGGAGATGAGGGCCACCCTGCCGCCACCTAGAATAACTGTAGCTGTAATTAACACCCAAGGAATTAAAAATTTCCTATTTATGTTTATGATCAGAGCTTAGTGGTGGTTCAGCGAACTAGGTCATATAGTGCACCCTCTCGCGCCTCGCCAATCCTCAGCTCAAATGCCAATTGCGAGGTGATGCTGGACTTCCTCGAATCCAAAGTCGAAGGAATCCCCTCAGCTGCCTCTGCCATTCCATCTGCTACCCCATCCCCATCTATCCCTCCCACCCCAACCCTATCGATCCCTTCCTCCATACCTTCGAACCTGTCTCCCCCTCCTCTCTCATCCCCACCCGTGTGAAACTGATCACCTGCTCCCTCGACCCCATCCCTACCCCACTCCTTATCTCCCAGCTCCACCTCCTTGCCCCTCACAGACTCACAGACATCATAAACCTCTCTCCGTCCACTGGCACTGTTCCCACCCCACTAAAAACCACCGTCATCACTCAAGATCCTGGTCCTCACCTTCAAAGCCCTCTATGGTCTTGCTCCCCCCCTACCTCCGCGACCTTCTAACCACCTACTCCCTCCACTCAGCAGGCTCCGGCCTGCTTCATGCCCTCTGCCTCATTCGCCCCACTATTGGCAGGTGGGATTTTTGCCACTCTGCCCCCACCCTCTGGAACTCCATCCCGCAGTTCTTCTGCCTCGCCCCCTCCCTTGCCGCCTTCAAGACCCTCCTCTTCGACCGTGCTTTCGATCTCCCTGAAATCACGTTGTTTGTTTGCTCTATAAATGTAATTTTGTTGTTGTTGTTGTTAGCTGGATATTGATTTTCAGCTACATTATTTCTTTAACATGTTAATCATGATACCTCATGTTAAATATTAATGTTAGAGTATGTAGATCAAACTAAATTGCATTTGTAACATATACCAGACATTTTTAATGTTTTTATAGTCAGACTAACAGTTGAGTAGAAGTGATCATTGCTTGGTTTTAAACAGTTTTTATACTTCGGATTTGCATCTACTAGCAGTGGTGTTGAATCTATTCAAATTCATTCCACAAAGATTGGATCCTTACAATTGCCAAAGTCCTGCTTAGATTCAAAACCGAGTCTTGGAAGCGAAACATAATTCTCCAGTGTATTGCACTACCCAGTTCTCCATTTATGTTCTTATTTAATGATTCATTCCTGTTATTCAAATTGAATGGCTTGAAGGGATGCTCAAGGTCGTAGGGCAAAATGTTTGGCAAGTTTCCTCACTCCACACGCCTCTGTTTTCCTAGGAGTAAGTAGGAACCCGGTTGTTAGTCGATTGTCGTATTGCTTTCCTGGGGTAATAATCCCTCCAAAAAAATTATAATAATGTGGTCACTCAATTCATGACTGTTTGTGGAACACTGCTGTGCACAATTGGCTGCCACGTTTCACCCACAAAATATACAGTCAATTCACTTTACAGTATATTCTGTGAAGCGCTTTGAGACATCTGGAAGACATGAAAAGCACAATATCAAATGCAAGGATTATTACAGGTGGGTTAGAATTAGATTTAGATTCATTTAGCAGTAAAATATTCATATTACTGATACAAAATCATCTTAAATGTTATCAATCTTTCATGTGAATTACATTTGGAAATAGAGTTATGTGTGGTAACTACCATAATATCTTGAAATGATTGAATGCAAATATTATTACTCTTGCCGCTATGTTAAACCTTTCCAGAAGTTTACTTGTGCTTCATCTGAATGTCATTTAATCTTTTCCCTTCATGCAGTAGAACATTTCGCCCACAAAATACACAGTCACTACACTTTATAGTACATTCTGTGAAGCGCTTTGAGAAGTCTCAACGATGTGATAAGGTGCTACATCAAATGCAAGAATTATTATTATTATAAGTGTGCCAACAACACTCAAGTGATCAAATCGAATCAGGAACGTCTCTGCCATAGTTCAGCATTTCATAACCGTATTATTTTCACAGGTTACATACAGAGGAAAGGAACTTTTAAAATACGTTCCCATGACTAATTCGTCGACTGTAGTTCCACAGTCACGACCTTTATTACAGTCAGCCAAATTAACTACCTTAACAGATAAGACATCTTCTGTCCCAACACAATGCAGCATTGTCACAGGTATGTTGAAATAAATGTTCCACTCATGAGCAAATAAGTATTAAACTGTGCTCCATTTCTTCCCTTAATTTCTTTTTTAAACTTGTTTCTTTCCTCCTTCAATCCTTTGACTAAAGACCATAATAATAGAGTATATAACTTGTTCTGTTTAATATCTGTTTCCACAGATTTGTTCTGAATTTAACCCCCTTCAATCACATGCCGTGTCCTCTGGTTTTACTGATCAAATCCAAACGTTTTCCTTTATTATTTATTATTATTTATTATTTATTAAATGTTTTACCCTATTGTGTACTTCAGTGCTCCCTTTATCCACTTGGCTGTCAGCATATTAATCTGTTACTGGTAACAAAAACTGATTCATTTTGTGTTTTGACAGAAGCTCCCAAACAGTCTACGAACATGAAATCTCCTAGCAGTTTTATGCAGATTCGGGAGATTCTACTGATAACCAATAATGAATTATTTCCAAGTTACATCATAGACCAACACTGGAAACATTACATAGAGTGTGACAATTGGGATTTCTAAAAAATTCTCCAAACATTTAACGCAAATGTTTTATGAACAGAAGAAATCTGATCAAACTGGAATCCACTGTATCTTCATTTTTTTCCTTTAAAAAATGCCAAACTATTGGCTCGAGAACAAAAATGTCATTATCCTAAATTTACATTCCTTTCTTGCATTTCACAGTAATTGCATCTTTTTAAGAACATTTTCGCTATTATCTCTCACTGAAGTCAATATTTAATTTATATGGCACTCACTTGAAGAAGCTTTTCCCCTCTTTTAGAACTGAACATGGATAATGCACTGGTTACATAGTATAATTTTTCATGTTAAGCAGTGACTTTTGTCATTGTAACAGAACAAAGCAGACTTCTGTTGAAAAAATCCACTTACCCCAAAATATTTATTCAAACAAATGAAAATTAAATGACTTGTTCTAGCCGTTACGGTTTATCGTATACCAGTGAATCATTAGTAAAGGGTGAAATGTGTTTACTGTTTTGTTTGTTTTTCAGTCTTGTTTAATATCATTCAGTTAATATGAATTTGGCGTTTAACTTGTTTAACTTGTCAAACTTGTTACATAAGGTTTTTTTTCTGGAAAGTATCTAGATGTTTCATGCTAGTACAGTATTACTCTAATGTATTCAAATTTTAAGACTTAACATTTTGGTCTTTTCCCTTTATTATTTCATAATAATTTTGAAGTGAAATGACTGATAGTACATCAAAGTAGAATCTGAATAAAATTGTTATTCAGATTCTACTTTGATGTACTATTGTTGCACTCAATAATGTTATTATATCTTTCTTGTTACTGTTGCAACAGTGTTTGAACAGAAGTAAATGCAATCTTAAGTTATTTATACAATTGTATTTAATTTGTTCACCTCTTTTTTTGCTATGTAGTTTACATCATTTAGTGCCATTGAAATTTATAGTGAAGTTAAAACATTTTTCAAAATCTTGAGCTGTTTTAACATTGTAGGCCTCAACTCTGTAAAATTTGGAAATAAACTAAATATATTGAATTTTCTATAAACGACTCCTAAATACTCTGTGAGAAGGGAGACTCCGAGCCAGTTCAGGGGGGGAGAGGTGACCATAAGCACAGTCGAAAAAGAAAGGTTATTAGGCAGGACTTGTAAAAGGGGAGAGAGGGTGCAAAGCGGAGGGATTGAGGGAGAGTTTCACAGTTTCGGGGTGTAGTGGCTGAATGCGCGACCTCCAAAGGTGGAGGGTGTGCGGGACAAGCAGGAGGCCGGTACCAATCGAGCAAGGCGCTGGGTGGTGAATTGGGGAGTAAGGAGGTCGGAGTGGTAGGGAGGTGCCAGGGAGTGACGGGATTTGAACACGAGTATGATCCAGTGGAGCCTGGCCAGAACTGGTGAGATGTGGGTACGGAGTTTGGTCCGGGTAAGTATGCGAGCAGCAGAATTCTGAATGAGACGGATTTTTTGAATAGTGGAGCTGGGGAGATAGCGGTGAGTGCGTTTTGAGTAATAATAATAATAATCCTTGCATTTGATATAGCGCTTTTCACGTCTTCTCGACATCTCAAAGCGCTTCACAGAACACACTGTAAAGTGAATTGACCGTATATGTGTGGACGAAACGCGGCAGCCAATTTCGCACAGCAGTGTCCCACAAACAGTTGTGGATTGAAAATTACCAATTTATTATTGTTTTGTTTTGGAGGGATTATTATTAGGCGTGTGGAGTAAGAAAACTCGGCCAAGGTTTTGCCCTGCCTGAAATTTAACCCGGGTGTCTCGCTTGCAAGGCGAGTGCTCTAACCACTGAGCTGCAGGACTCAGTAATAACGGAATGACAAATTTACAAAAGTTTCTAAGTCTGAGCGCACACAGTGATGCATCAAAGCTGTATCATTGAGATCAATCCTCAACAAGCGAAGGAGACACAAAGCATGTCAAAGCGTGACAGACAATGTGAAGATTTGTACCAGTGAGGACACTAATAATATACCATCCAACATCCAAACATGTCTCAGTACAGGGAAACATGTGGGATGTACCAACTTTCAAATGAAACTTAAATCCTGTCCACCTGTTTCAACAGCTATGAAAAATCCTTTTGATACTTTTCAAAAAGAAAAGGCATTGCTTCCGGTGTGCAGCCCAACAATCCTCCATGTTAATTTATCATTTTCCTCTTGGAACTTGATGGCTGCCACATTTGCCGACAATAACAGTCGCTACAGTCATTACCTGTCAGGTGCTTTGAGGCACTGAGTTCAACTGAAAGACATGACAGACTATTCTGTAGTAATCTAAGGCATTAAGGTTTATCATATGAAATCACTACAAATAGCATGCAATGAAACTCCACAGTTCCAGATCAGATTCCTGTAGCTCAGTGATTAGAGCACTCGCCTCAGAAGCGAGAGACCTGTGTTCGATTTCCGATAGGGTGAAATGTTGGGCAAGTTTACCTAGTTTACGCCTCTGTTTACCTAGCAATAAGTAGGAACCTGGTTGTTAGTCAATTGGTGGATTGCTTTTCCGGGGCTAATTATCCTTAAAAAAAATAATCGTTTGGTAACTCAATCCACGACTGTTTGTGGGACACTGCTGTGTCCAATGGGCTGCTGTTTCGCCCACAAATATACAGCCATTCACTTTGCAGTATATTCTGTGAAGCACTTTGAGACGTCTAGAAGATGTGAAAAGCGCTATATCAAATCAACAACAACAACAAAATTACATTTATAGAGCGCCTTTCATGTCGGGAGGACCTCCCAAAGAGCTGAACAGTCAGGTATCGGGGCCCGAGCATGGGGGGGTAGGGGGTGGTGTAGGGGTGAGGGAAATCAGAGAGGTGGGAGGGAGACCAAAGGCACGGTCGAAGAGAAAGGTCTTGAGACCGGCCTTAAAGGAGGCAAGAGAGGAAGCGAGGTGAAGAGACCGTGGGATGGAGTTTCAGAGTGTGAGGTCAGAGAGGCTGAAAGCCCGGTCACCGATGGTGGGGCGGGACAGGAGGGAGCCATGGAGCAGGCCGGAGCCCGATGAACGGAGGGAGCGGGCAGGTTGGTAGGGAGTCAGCACGTCAGAGAGGAAGGCGGGGGCAAGGCCATGGATGGCCTTAAAGGTGAGGACGAGGATCTTGAACTCGATCCTCTGGGGGATGGGGAGCCAGTGGAGTCGGCGAGGATGGGAGTGATGGGGTCACGGAGCCTGGTCCGTGAAAGTACACAAGCTGCAGAGTTTTGGATGACCTGCAGCTTGTGAAAGGAAGAGTTGGGAAGGCCGATGAGGAGGGAGTTCCCGTAATCAAGCCTTGAGGTGAAGAATGTATGGGTGAGGGTTTCGGCAGTCTGAGGGGTGAGACAGTGGCGGAGTCTGGCAATATTGCGGACGTGGTGGTAGGCAGTGCCGGTTATGGTGCAGATGTGGGGGAGAAAGGACAGTTTCTGTCTGAGGTGCGGATGTCGGACAGGCAGTCGGGCAGGAGTCCTGCAGTTCAGGGTGAAAGCAGAGAGGTAGAGTTGGGTGTCATCTGCATACATGTGGAAAGTTACCCCATGTCTGCGGATGACGTCACCAAGGGGGAGCATGTAGAGGGTGAAGAGACGGGGACCGAGGACAGAGCCCTGAGGAACACAGTGCGGGGTTTGGAGGAGAAGGCGTTTGCTGCGACGAAGTGGAGGCGGTGTGAAAGGTAGGACCTGAACCAGTCAAGGACAGAACCTTGAGGGTTAAGGTGGGAGGAGAGGCAGTGGAGGAGGATTGAGTGGTCCACGGTGTCAAAGACAAGGATTATTATTATTATGTATGTGTTTGGGGGATCTTGTCAGTCTGCCTGACTCAGCAAAGAGAACTCCCGATATAACAGGTAGGATGAGACACTTCTGGCTGGACAATCTATTCTATTTTTATTCAGTGCAAAATTCTATTTAGAAATCAGTACAAAAGAAAAATGATGAATGCTACCAATCTGAAATCATTAACAGAATATAGTGTAAATACACAGCGAGCCAATTGCTATTTGAAAGGTTAAATACTTCTGTCTGAACTTTCATTGGAACTGGAATGCTGGGCTCGAAAATCTAGAAAACAAGATAGGCAACAAGTCATCAACAGATTGTGAAATGCTGGGAGGGAAAGACCTTGTCAAAGGGCTGACATTTTAAATATAATAGACAGGAGAGCTGAAGGGCAAAGGGCCTGGAAACACCGTCAAAAAGTATTGAGATGACCCTTGAACAAGAGTCAGAGGGAATCCAAAGAATGGGGCTGAGAGGCTGAATGCCTGACCCCTGATGATTGTAGGGCATGGGACAGGAAGCAGGCTCGTGCCAACTAAGCAAAGGGAGTAGCCCAGTCAGTTGGGTTTGAGGAAATTGCAGAGGTACATGGAGGGATTTAAAGGTGAAAATAAGGATCTTAAGCTTGATTCGTTGGGAGATTAATATTCAAATTAATAGGATACTTACGTCATCTTTGTTTATCTGGCGCAGTTCCCATAAAAGTCATTTTATGGAGTCCTGTAGCTCAGTGGTTAGAGCACTCGCTTTGTAAGCGAGAGACCTGAGTTCAATTCCAGGCAGTCAGGGCGAAACCTTGGGCAAGTTTCCTTACTCCACACAGAGCCTAATAATAATCCCTCTAAAACAAAACAATAATAAATTGGTCATTTTCAATCTACGACTGTTTGTGGGACATTGCTGTGTGCAATTGGCTGCCGCGTTCGCCCACAAATATACAGTCAATTCACTTTACAGTGTGTTCTGTGAAGCGCTTTGGGACGTCCTCCCGACGTGAAAAGCGCTATATCAAATGCAAGGATTATTATTATTATTATTATTTTTTTGTTGTTGATAATTCAAGTTGAACATGTGAGTGGTGAGCGTGTCCTGACAAGTCAACAACAACAACAACTTGGATTTATATAACGCCCTCCACGCCAGACGGCGTCTCAGAGCGCTTCACAGTAATGGATCCCGGGACTCATTCATTTGCTAATAAAATGTACCGTCAATTCACTTTATAGCATATCCCGTGCAGCCCTTTAAGCCGTCTCGAAGATGCGATTAAGGCACTGTATTAAACGCAAGGATTATTACTATTATTTCACAGTAACACTCGCATTTTTTATTGATTTGGAAATGTAAGCTCTGCCTTTCCCTTTCCCTTTCCCTTTCCCTTTCCCTTTCCCGCGCTGAAAGACCAGGGCGGTAACACGGCTTTGCGATCGATCCATCGCTTATTCCAGCGTAAATCTCATTGATGATGATCACTGCCCTCCAGATTACACTGTGTCTGCAACTGGATGGGAGCAGTGTGAGGAGAGACCAGCCATGGGGAGTCCTGACCTGCCTGTTGGAGGGCTGGGGAGAGTGGGTTGGAGGATGACAGTACCTCCTCCAGCGTCATTTACTGGTTGAATAAGATATTGCTCCAGAGAGTGCAGCCCCAGCCTTGCTCTGCCCTGCTCTGCCTGCTCCAGCTGGAAAGGCTCACACCAGGTCCTTTCAACAGATAATAACTTGGCACATATTTTCCAGACACAGTCAACATCGACTTCCTCTCGTAAGTCACCTCGATCGTTTGATTCGAGCTCTGGATCTTTTTGCAGAGGGGGGACAGGAGTGGGAGTGAGTGAGAATGTGCCAGTTGTCTGGTCTCGCAGTTGTCTTGTCCTGTCTGTCCATCTGGAAAAGTTGAAGGGTAAATCAGGAGAGAGAGGAGCCGCAGATCAGGGCAGTTCCCGGTGACTTTCCAACAGGTCAGGTCGTACTGATTTTTTTTTTTTTAAGTGTTAAATCGGTAGATCTTCGGAAATAAATGCACAATGTGAAGCCGGAATCCCCTTCGTTTTAGTTTCACCGCAAAGAAGCAGATTGCAACATGCAAACCGCAGCGTGTGTGTCGATTCGCTCAGTTGTGCATCTCTGCAAAATCCAGACTGAAAGATAGAATTTAGAGTCGCTTCTGCTGCTTGGATTTATCCCCCACCACCACCTTTTTTTTTTCTTTTTGTCTTTTGAACACTTTTGTCTTTAGAGAGTAAAAACCTGCAAAGCTGGGACGATTTGCTCTGATGTATCCTGGGGTGACCAGTGCAAACTCAGGGGTTAACCTGACACAGTGTCTGTCTGTCTTGTCTGTCTGTCTGTCTGTCTCAGTGTTGGAGTAACTGAAAGTGAGTGATGTCTAAGCCTTGAGCGTTGCACAGTGCAGTTCCTGAGGATACAAGGTCACTGAGGTTAACAGTAATCATCATTTTTGCATTTGATATAGCGCCTTATCACGCCTGCTTGACGTCTCAAAGCGCTTCATACAATATACCGCAAAGTGAATTAACTGTACATTTTGTGTGCAAAGCGGATGCTGCTTAATATAAGGAAGTGTAAAATCTCAAGGCTAGATTTGTGTGGGTGGGAAGGGACCATGAGACACAAATCCTTTTCTTTTAGGTGGGACAGAAGGTTAATCTAGTGGAAAAGTTTTTTTTTACAGTTTCACTCAAAAAAAAACCTTGTCTGTAAATGAAATTTGCTCAGCGCATTTTGAAACACCTTTCTTTGGAGCATAACAGTGAATATAAACCTACTGTTTTAAATTTTTTTTAATCTGGCCACAGAAAGCACAGAATAAACGACTTCTAACAGCTTGTTTGTTTCCAGTGCTCTGTAAGAGAGAATTTTTTTCTTTGAGGTTTTGCACATTGATCAGCAGGAAGTTTCATTTCATCAACTCAACACTATTTGTGCTAACAATGCAATGCTTTTTGCTTTTCTTTACACTACATTTGTAGCTTTGGCTCTACACGTGATCAAATGTTTCCAGAGCGGCGCAATTTGATCTTTATTTTTGCGCTCTGTTTCGTGACACATTGCGCAGTTTCTCTGCTATTTATGGAAAAAATAATAATAATCCTTCCATTTAATATAATGACTTATCATGTCATTGAAACTTCTTAAAAAAAAGTGCGTCACAGGTTTACTGTAAAAGTGGAGTGACTGTGTATTTTGTAGGTGAAATGAGACAACCAGTTCCACACAACATGTCCCACAAATAGCCATGGAATGAGTGACCAGTGTTTATTTGTTTAGAAGCTAAAATAATAATAGAAGAAAATAAAATCGTATAGTGTCCTCTAACCTCTGTACAGCTGAAAATGTCAGCCTAGTTCAGTTGATAGCGTTCTCGCCTCTGAATCAGAATGCTGTGGATTCAGGGTTCAGAGCTTCAAGTAGGGATTTTGAGCTAAAAGTCCAGTACTTGGGATGCTGTTCTTCTAATGAGATGACCCAACCAAGATGCTGTCCACCTGCTCAGAATTATAATAATAATCATAATCTTTGCATGGAGGAACATAGGAACATAGGGATAGGAATAGGCCATTCAGCCCGTTGAGCCTGTTCCGTCATTCAATTAAATCGTGGCTGATCTTTATCTTTACTAGAATTTCAAATCCAATTTCCCGCTTTCTCCCCATAACCCTTAATACCCCGACCTACCAAAAATCTGTCAATCTCTTTCTTGATGGATCCAGCATCCACAACCTTTTGGGGGAGAGAGTTCCAGATTTCTACCACCCTTTGAGTGAAAAAATGCTTCCTAATTTTCAGTCTGGTTCTAATTTTAAGACTATGCCCCCTTGTTTTGCATTCCCCCAACATAGGAAATAGCTTTTCTGCATCTACCCCTTTATCAAATCCCTTTATCATCCTAAAAACCTCTATCAAATCACCCCTCAATCTTGTAAACTCGAGGGAATAAAATCCAAGTTTACGCAGCCTTTCATCGTAACTTAACCCTTTTTGGCCTGGTAACATTCTGGTGAACCTGCACTGCACCCCCTCCAAGGCCAATATATCTTTCCTGTGGTGTGGTGCCCAAAACTGAACACAGTACTCCAGGTGGGGTCTGACTAAGCTCTATACAGCTGAAACATCATTTTTTTCCCTTTGTATATATGATATAACGCCTTGTCATGTCATTGACACGCCTCAAAACCCTTCACAGAATATATTGTATAGTTGACTGTATATTTTGAAGGCAAAACTGGGCAGCCAGTTGCCCATACCAGTGTCCCACATTCAGTCATGGATTGAGTGACCAATTCTTTTGAAGGGATTATTACCCCTGGAGAATCATCCGCTAATTGATTAACAACCGGGTTCCTACTTACTGCTAGATTAACAAGTGTGTGAAGTAAGGAAACATGCCTAAGGTTTCGCCCCACCTGAGAATTGAAACCAGATCCTCTCACTTGTGAGGCGAGTCCACTACACCACAGAATAATTGTCTGTTGTGTTCACCTACTATTCCCATGAATAGCTTTGAGGAATCCTCCCCACAATGAAATGTGCTATATCCCACGCAAGGATAATTATTATAGCTCTATAATTGCTTAGGCACTTTACTGATTCATTCTAGGGTGTGACAGCGTTGTTTGCTTGTGTCCTGCTATCGTATTGGAAAATCAAATACACATGTGTCAGTCTGGCTCAGTTGGTAACACTCTCGACTCTGGTTGTGGGTTCAATCCCCACATTAGGACTTTGAACTCATAGTGTAGGCTGATTCTCCAGTGCAGTGCTGGGGGGAAGCACTCCATTTTTGGAGGTGCCGTCTTCAGGTGTGACATTAAATTGAGATCTGGTCTGTTTGTTCAAATAAAGTAAAGGAGTTTCAAGGTTTGTTTGCCAATAATCCCACAAATAAAAAAAACTATTCACTTCATGGCTTTTTGTATTAAAATCTTGTGGGTGAAATTGGCTGCTTTGTTTGCCTACAAATACATTTACTACATTTTCCAGAAAAACACTGAGGCATTTGAGAGTTTTCGATATGAAACGCCACTGTTTTAAATGCAAGGATTATTAACAATAAATAATATTCCTTGCATTTGATACAGACATTGCATAAATGTAAATTATATTGTATCCCACTGATCTCAAAATTGTAATGACTAAATTTTTTTACAAATGTAACCCTGTATGAGATTTTTATTATTATTGGTTTCTCATGATATCCAATGGCTTCATCTCTTGCAGAATGAAGAGGTGTTTGGCTACAACTTCTCAGCTTGCAAAGCTTCTCTTCTGTTTACTTTGTATCCTGCCCTGTTTATTAAAACTCTTTTACAGTCTGACAGAGGTGACTGGATCGAACAAAAAGTGGTTAGTGGAACCTTTCTGGAGCACCTCACAATTTGTGCGTAACACAAAATACCCCAAATACACAAGCTTAAAATTTGAAATAAATTGTGCAGCCATTTACGACCATGATCCAGTGGAAGTGGGGAAGACTTTAGAAATCCGAAATAATGATATAGTTGATCTTGAAGATGAAGATGTGGCATCGATGGTATTGAACTGTGATCAATACCTTCACCTCAGGGGGTACCACTCGGATCCAATTTCGGAGGAGGAACTTGGGTACCCCTTGGCATTTTCTCTAGTTGTTCATAAAAATGCTATAATGGTAGAACGAGTCTTACGAGCAATATACATGCCTCAGAATTTATACTGCATTCATTATGACCAGAAATCCTCCAGCTCATTTAAATCTGCCATGGAGAAGCTGGCCAGCTGCTTCCCTAATGTTTTCATCGCATCAAAGTTGGAATTGGTACACTATGCCCATATCTCCAGACTGCAAGCGGACCTCAATTGCCTCTCTGATCTTCTCAGGTCCTCAATCCAATGGAAGTATATTATCAACCTGTGCGGCCAAGATTTTCCTTTGCGGTCCAACTACGAACTGGTATCCGAGTTGAAGATGCTCAATGGAGCTAACATGCTGGAGTCCGTTCATCCCAGTGACAGCAAGAAGGAACGATTCGCATATCACTATGAGCTCCAAAATGTGCCTTTTGAGTATGGAATGGTACCTGTCATGTCCAACCTTCAAAAGGACGCTGCCCCTCACAACATTGAGGTGTTTTCAGGTAGTGCCTACTTTGTCTTGAGTCGTGAGTTTGTTCTGTACATTAACAACAGCTTGGTAGCCAAAGATTTTCTTGCCTGGTCCTCAGATACCTATTCGCCCGATGAACACTTCTGGGCCAGTATGGTTCGTGTGCCTGGGGTCCCAGGTGAGCTGCCTCGGTCTGCGCGAGAGGTGAGCGATCTAGAGAGTAAGGTGCGATTGGTGAAGTGGAGCTATCTGGAAGAGCAGTTGTACCCACCATGCACAGGCACTCGACGCCGAAGCACCTGCATCTACGGTGCGGCTGAGCTAAGATGGCTACTCAACTCCAGGCACTGGTTTGCCAATAAATTTGACTCTAAGGTGGACCCTGTATTGATAAAATGTTTGGAAATGAAGCTTCGTGAGCGCCAAAGAAACATGGTGGAAGCCAGCTCTCAAACACTCTATGTTAAGAATGTCTCAGGAAACATTTAGGGTTGAAGTTATGTAGCTTTCTGCTTGTCAAAATCACAGTCAGCTATATGCACACTCACAGGGCTGAAAGGCGAACACGAGATTAAATTATTGTATGGCTGTTTCGTACCTTTCAGTAGAAAGCAGCGGACAGAAAGTAATGTGGATCAAGCATATTTGGTAGATAATACAATAAGACAAGTTGACATCAGCTGCCGAAATATTTGACATTATTTTTATTACATTGGTGGGGCTGGCCCCCATCAGAGGTTTCGGATAAGTTCATGATTGAGGCAATTCTACATGTCCTGGGCAAGGAACAGACTTTTTTTTACTATGTCCACACAATTTTCTTATAGAAGGCCAGAACTGAGCTGCAATACACTAGGCCGGTGCACACTGTAATGCTATAATAGGTGAATTACTGAAGCAAGTTATTCAAAACCTTAAGTAAAGTCATTCAAGTTAAAGGTTAGAGGACAGATATGTCTAGCAGAATTATCAAAGGGTGTTTTCGTCAGTGGGGACGCAAACATTGATTTTCAATATAATAATGTTGGCAATGTACAAAGTACCAATGACAGATGAAGCTACCAAGCTACCTTGAAGCAAGCATGAAGTAATATGGACTAATAGTTATTTTATAGAATGCTTTTAAATAATTTACAACTTCAGGAATATGATCTGCTGCAGTTTTGCCAGTTTAAAAAGGCCTGAGGTAAGATGCCAGTGTGGGATTTCAGCAATTAAGTAATTTGCAGTGTGTATCTGACCTTTATCTTTTATCATAGTAATGTTATGTCGTCTCAGAACTTGGGAATGTTACATGTTAAACCAGTTTGTATCAACAAAGTCCATGCCATTGGAGGGTACAACGGACCTCAGCCTATATTAAAGGAATAGTGTAGATCTCAGAAGTCAGAATTCCCACTGGTTCTAAATGAAGATTATTTTCTTAATATTTTAGAAAAAATTCAGTCTTAATTTTGAAGCTGTTTCGCCGTAGGTTATTTTAAGAAAGGCTCCCAAATTAAGACTGATTTAACATTTGCCATAATTGCAAGCTCTGAAATGTTAAAAAAAAATCTGTCGAGAAAGAGGTGGAATTTCTACCCCCAGAACTAGGGAGCAGCAATGTTATAATTATGTTACATCAATTTGCATGTAAAGGAAATAAAAATATCACAGGCTTCAATGCATAGCCTTCGGTTTATATCCTATCACTTTATTTCCACTGATTTGGGAGTCGGTGACTAGAGGGCACAATTTTAAGATCATTATCATAAAGAAATCAAAGGAAGAAATTAGGCAGAGTTTAGGAAAAATAATTTTACTTAAAGGCTAATTAGGAAATGGAATTCCCTACCAAAAATAGTGACTGAAAAGGGAATTGGACAAATATTTGAATCTGAATAACGGAAACAGTAAGGCACTGGGGAGTGGGATTAAATGTATAGCTCTTGGAGATAGCCATCAAATGCACCTTATGGAGTCGAAATTCCGTGCTTTACATTGGAATTGTGATTTTAGATTGGTATTGAATTTGGATTGAACAGTATTGTGTTGTATTACTTTTACCTTTGCACTTACCTTCATCTGTTCAAGCTGCCTTGCATTCATAATTGACATGTTAAATAAATTGCCACCATTCACCTGTTGCCAGTCTATGATTCCTGTGCATCATTGATACCAAACAGATTCTGCCGGAAGACAGTGAGCTGAAGCAGCACATCCTTCACAACTAATACACTGACCCTTAATCTCCTATAATAATAATTTGGTCACTCAATCCACGCCTGTTTGGGACACTACTGTGTGCAATTGGTAACCGCATTTTGCCCACAAAATATACAGTCAATTCACTTTACTTTTTTTTCCATGAAGTACTTTGAGACGTCCCTAATCTCTAAAATGTGATACGGTGCTATATCAAATGCAAGGATTATTATATTATTATTATTGGCTTCCCTTGTACCGTCCTCCAGGGCATGTTTATGCAACAGAGCCATTGAGCAGATGATTACCACCTTGTGATTGTTATTCAGGCCCCAGAATCTCGATCTGGCAACCAGTTTTGCTTGGTTACTTTGCTGCTATAACTTTTGCAAACTTCATCGAGTAATACTCTCAAACCACAATTTCCTTGTGTTAAGGTTTTAGCTCTAACAAATATCCGGCCTTACTTTTACAGGACCTATGTTCATGTAACGTAATTCAGACCCCTAGGTGCTGTACAATTCTATAATTCTCTAACTTACATTAAAATGTATAAATAAAATGTACTTTGCTAATGATGGGATTTAAAGAGAATTTAACTGTGGATTTAGTATGTGGTACAAACTTTGCAAATAAAGATGTATCTGATAAATTCTTGTTGGCAGATGTGTCAGAACAAAATAAGATAGAAGATGTGGTGTAGATTTGTAGTATTTATGAACTGGATTTGAAATATCATCTTTAAATGGTGCTCACCATGCCTAAAATTTCAGTCTTGCTAAATGTTTCTAGATGGTTTTCATTGCAGCTGGATAGTACTATAATCAAAGTAAGATAGCTGTTGATGTAATAATGTGTTCCCTTTAAGGCAGCAATTCAAAATGGGATACAAATCCATAGGTACGACTGTCCCTCTGGAACCTGACTCAAGTAGTCGTTATTAATGTTTGAGCTGAGACCGTATCAGCAGGGTATTGAGTGGTGGATGAGGGTCACAGCTAAGCCCCATCTTGCCTTCACCCAACACCCACACACATATTTCCAGCACAATTCACTGGACAAGAATGAGGAGTTATCAGCTGATTTCCATCCTTCTCTTCAACCTAAGGGACATTGAGCCTAATTATAAATTTTGCCAAGCCAATAATTCTCCAGACCTTCACATCATGACCTTTTTTGGAACTGTGCAGTTCACAAATTGTCTCCATTTTTTTTTACCAATATAGTCATAGCACTTGATAGTAGCTATCATTAAAGCACTCTGAAACACATTAGATGCTTATAAAAATGTAAGTTCTGTTTGTTTTTCACCTTCACCTGAGATCAGTTAACGCAACACAGCTCAAAGATCTAACTTGGAATTTGTGTGCTCTGGGAGGCTCAGTACCTGGCGATCCATGCAATATATTTTTTCTTCACATTGAGAACCTATAAGAATTGTAAGTCAGATAAAAATAATAATAACCCTTGCATTTGATATAGGGCTTTATCACGTCTTTGAGACTCTCAAAGAGCTTCACAGAATATACTGCATATTGTACATTTTGTTAGCGAAATGCGGCAGCCAGTGTCCCACAAACAGTCGTGGATAGAATGGATAGAGTATAACAAAAATGGAAGTGACAATCGACCAACAACCAGATTCCTACTTACTGGAAGGTAAACAGAGACGTGTGCAGTAAGGAAACTTGCCTAACGTTTTGCCCTGCCTGGGAATCAAGCCCAGGTCCTCTCGCTTGTGAGGCAAGTGCTCTAACCAATACACTACAGGGCTACACAAAAAAGATAACAAATTTGATATAATAATGAAAGAAAACCTTACATTTAATCCTCACATTTTCAAGTGCACATAAGGAAAGAATTAAAAAAAACTTTTATTTCCCTGACTTCACTTCATATTGACTCAGCTTTTGTTGAGCTGCTGAGATGCAGATCTGTGGAACATTATGTGCAATAATAACAACTTGCATTTATATAGCATTCTTCACACAGGGTAGTGTCCTGGAACACTTGGCAATGGCACAGTCTGACATTGAGTCAAGAGGGAGAGGGTTTGAGGGAGAGAGTTCCAGAGTTTTGTGGCGTAGTGGCTGAAGGCACGGTCATTGATGATGGAGAGGAGGGGTCGAGGGACAAACAGGAGGCCGGGATCAGCCGAGCGGAGGCAGCTGGTAGTGAACTGGGAGGTAAGCAGGTGGGATAGGTAGGAAGGTACGAGGGCATGAAGAGATTTGAAAATGATTGAGAGAATCTTGAAATCGATCCGTTCGGTAATTGGGAGCAGTGGACCCTGGCAAGGACTGGTATGCTGGGGGGTACAGAGTTTGTGCAGGTGAGTATCTGGGCAGCGGAGTTTTGAATTATTTGAATTTTTGTACGGTGGAGCTGGGGAGACCAGCGAGGAGGGCATTGGAATAGACCAGCTGGGAAGTGACAAAGGCATAGACTAGGGTTTTTGCTGGTTGGTTGTGAGATACAGACGGAGGTGGAATATGACAGAGGTGGAAAAGAGCAGTCCTGGTCAGAGAATGGATGTGTGGTAGAAAAGAAAGCTGGGGATTGAACCTGATGCCTAAGTTTTACACAGGTTTGGTGAGTCTGCGGGAGAGCCCAGGGAGGTTGAGGAAGTCAGACCTGCAGGAAAGAAGATATTGATGGGAGCTAAAGAATCAACTGCAGGTAATTTGCATTCAAGGACATTAGTGGATTGGGAGTCAAAGCTGGAGGAGGATAAGTTCCTTCCATTCAAATAATAGTCTCTTCCAGGATTTTTTGTCCCCATGTGAAGTACTTTACATTTCTCCACATTGAATTTTATGTGCCACCGATCTGCCCAATTCCCAAGTATGTTCAAATCCTCCTTCCTGTAACCTATCTTATTCAGCTTCGCATTCTACCACCTTCATTAGCTTGGTGTCATCTGCAAACTTAGCCACTGTGCTTGTGACTCCTAGATCCAGATCATTTATAAAATTATTAAACAAAAGAGGTCCCAAAACAGACTCTTGTGGAAATCCACTGGTAACAGTCTGGTGACATTCCCTGTACCACCACCCTCTGGGTTGTTACAGTCAATCAATTGCATATCCATTGTAATATATCTCCACTGATTCCCGCTTTTTTTATTTATAGTACCAGTCTCTCAAGAGGAACTGTGTCAAAGGCCTTACTGAACTCCAGATATACAACATCCACAGCCTTAGCCTTATCAAGCTTCCTTGTCACACCGTCAAAGTAAATCAGTAAATTAGATTGGCAAGATCTTCCCTTCAATGAAGCCCATATTGGTATCATTTATGATTTTATTTTTATATTAGACAAACAAAACTGCCAATTTGCACACAGCAATGCCCCACAAACAGCAATGCCCCACAAACACCAATGAATTGAATGGCCAATTTTATCTGGGGGATTGTTGACTGGGACACTGAAAAGAAACTTCCTCTCTTTCAGAATAGTGCTATGGTACTGAACAGGCAGACAGGCCCTCGGTTTAATGTTTCAACCAAAAAAACCACTGAAGTGTCAGCCACGACTGTGGAGCTTGGACACCAGACCCATGACCCTCTGACTCAGAAACAAGAGTGCTACGCACTGAGCCAGCCTGACACCTAAAATAACTGTTAAGGAATAACAGAAGGAACTCCTGGAACAAACTTACATTTTTTCCTCTTCATTACCTAGAATCACTTAGAAGGTGATTGGGCAAAAATCAGTATTTCTTTAGCTTTGCTGTCAAATAAAACCAACATCCATTCACAGCCTGTCCAAGCTCATCTCCAACACTAATAGAGCCTGACAAATAGTTCTCTACACTTACTGGGAAAACACCTACATGTAATTCAAAGAATAATTCAGGTCAATTAATTTGAAATGTAGAAAGTAAACGTCATTAGGTGTCAGCCTAGCTCGGTTTGTAGCACTCTTGTTTCTGAGTGGGAAATGTGTGGGTTTAAGCACTTTGAGACACACATCCTCCAGATGTGAAAGGCACTCTATAATTTAAATTATATTGTACTTACTCCACACGCCTCTTTTTACCTAGAAGTAAGTAGGAACCCGGTTGTCAGTAGATTGGCGGATCGCTTTTCCCGGGGTAATAATTCTTTTAAAAAAAGAATACATTGGCCACTTCAATCCTGTGCGCAATTGGCTGCCATGTTTCGCCAACAAAATATACAGGCAATTCCCTTTACACTATATTCTGTGAAGCACTTTGAGAAGTCTCAAAGACATGATAAGACGCTATATCAAATGCAAGGATTGTTATATTTAAGATAATCCAAGATAATATTGGAATCCAAGGACTACCCCAGGATCCTCTTCTCCACCACCAACCAGCTCCTCTGCCCACCCTTTCACGCCTTGCCCATCTTCTCCTCAAATTCCAACTGCGAGAAGATACTGGACTTTCTCAAGACCAAAATTGGGGGCATCTGCTCAGATGCCTATGCCTTGCCAATTGCTACCCCCTCCCCACCTCCGGCTCGCACTCCAGCCCCTACCCATCCTTCCTCCACACCTTCGAATTTGTTTCCTCCTCCTCTCTCAGCACCATCATAACCCAACTCTACAGCTAAAATGATGTTATTGTCTGTTAATTGCAAATTTCTACCTAAATTCATCATGAATAAATTAACTTTATTTAGAAAATTTGCTTGCGTCGTGTCATATCTTGAATCTCCTTTGGTCACAAGATCATAAGATTAGGTTAAAACCAGTCAGAGCTGGCAGCTTTGTCAGGCTCTGAAAGATCTTTTGTCATTTCAAAAATTGAGTTTCAGCCTATCAAAAAGGGGCAGTGTCTGGAATCAAACAAGTGTGGTCTCACCAGAGCAATGCACAGTTTGAGTATGACTGTGTTACTTTGCAATTTGAATACAGCACTCTGAGATGTTATCCCGTGTAAGGGTATCATATAAACGCAAATTGTTGTTGGCAT